TCTATTTTGTTTTATTTGCCCAGAAAAAGAAAAAAGTCAAGGTGGGTCTTAGCGTGAGCAGTGTGATTTGTACATTGCATGTGATGACTAAGGAATTTTTTTTCTTAATATGGGAATAAAAATAGGTTTTGCAGACTGCCTGCACTACACTCTTTTATTTGGTGTGCTGATTAAAAATAAAGGATCATGTTTTTACTTTTCTACTCCTGCTATGCAGTGGTTGTGTTTATTCCTACTAATGCATGCATATGTTGAATCTTTTATGTTGATACTTGTTTTGTATTTATTTTAACAATTAAAGTGATAATGCGTTATGCAAACTGCATGGGAGAAAAGGAAACAATTATTTTTTCATGATTTACTGATATACCCGCCCCCTCCCCCGTCCGTTCCGCCAGTCGGCGCTGGAGGATCGGAGCGGGGAGGGGGTAAATCCCTGCAGCGAGCCGTGAGTGACAGTCACGGCTCTCTGCAGGGAGATGATCGAGAAGTGAGCAAGTGATGATATGTGTTCGGCGATGGTATGTGTGCGCTCACTTCCCAATCTATTGAGCCGACGTGTGACAGTATCATTGTCACACGTCGGCTCAAACTATGAGGTTGAATGAAAGTCACTCACCTCATTGTTCTCCTTTAATAGCATCTCGTGTAAGTACCTGAATTGGTCCTTGAAAATAAGTCCCTGTACAGTAGAGCTAAGACAGGGATCAATAGAGCTATACTCTCATTAGTCCCCAGGAAATATTATGTAGTACTTTGGCATATTTGTGGATGCAAATTTTGGCCGGGGGAAAAAAGGAATGATTGTTATGTCTCCGCCCACTACACTCAGTTGAGGACTACACTCCTTATTTTTTGGATTAGTGATGGGAGCGAGATGGAGATACTCTCTGTTTTATCCAATTCAGGACATTGGAAGATAGACTCCCAGAATAACTTTATCTAAATACTTTATAGTTCACCCACTCTCCAGCGGCTCTAAAGCAGCATTTACAAGCCATAGCTGGGACTTGTTTTATATACACAGAAGCCCATCTTTCTGCTCTTGTGTACACTGAGACTCAGAGACCAGAGCTATGAGATGAGGCTACTAAATTTAAACACGTTCACATTGGAGGTAAGGAGATTAAGGGGGGATATGATTTCCATGTACAAGATGTTCAATGGTGGTAGCAACATTAGCAATAAACTGTTTAAAATTAACTCCTTTTCAAAAACTAGAGGCCACCACCTAAAATTGGTGGGAAAAAAAATGCATGCACAAGGGGCGAAGGGGGTTCTTCACAGTTAGAGCGGTTAGGGTCTGGAACTCACTGCCACAGGCAGTGATTTCAGCTAAGAGTGTGGAATCATTCAATAAACTTTTGGACGATTTCCTAAGGCACCGTAATATACAGGGGTACAAGTACTCCTAAGAAAGAGATCCTATAGGTTGGACTGGATGGACTAATGTCTTTATTCAACCTCAAATACTATGTAACTATGTTAAAAAAAATTAAAGTGTTCCTATTTAACCCCTTAGTAACCTTTAGTTAACCCTAATCATCGCTAATTAACTCCCCAACTAACTCCTCCTCCGTAGCTACTATTTTTCTGATGATTAATAGGTAAACCTTTTCATGTTTATTTATTTATTTTTTATGTGTTTTTAGTGACGTATTTTATAAAAAAAGCAGTATTGAGATAACCCCTTTCTTTCATTTGTAAATAACTATGCCACATTTTGTAATAGAAACAACATTTTAGTGTGGACATACACAGGAGAAATTATCAAATAAATTGTGTGCTTTTTCTTAACAGAAACACTGTTATACATGTAACACTTTTAAAACTAACTTTTCTATAAATTGCATAGAAAACAGAACATTTTTAAAATTATATTGCCAATAGAGAGCTGTGTTTGTATAAAAAAAACAATGTATGTATTACTTTGTTATATTAAGTAACATATCACCGAATCAATAGGCCCAAAGCAGAAATGTAAAAATTGCTCTGGTCCTTAGAGGGTGTACAAGTACTGTATGTAGTGGTTAAGAAGCCCTATTGTGCTTCCCAATGACATAGTTAAGTGGTGCAATCCTAACCTAAATCAATGCATGTAATCTATAACTAGAGATAAAGTTAGGCAGATGCTTCTAATAGGACCATATAATTTACCTTCTTAGTAAATCCAACAAATGAAAGGAAACCTGTATAGGTTTCCTACCATTGTCGATCTTTCCTTCATAAAGGTATTAGATCCCTGGCTGTCATGCTGTGATGCATTGGCCTCCATACTTTCTGAGTCACTGAGCTAGAACAAGCATGCAAATGAGTTCTGACCTCACTCTGACTTTCTTGATCTGACCAGAGAATCACATAGCAGCCAGTCAACTAGCATTTCCAGAAGAAGGTCAACAATGACATCCTTTGTAAGTCTCTCATTGAAGGTTTTCTTTAAAGTCATTAGAAAAGGACAAATTTCAGAAATCCATAAAAACATTTGCACACTTATGTCCTGTATTTAGGAAAAGAAGTTAGGCGGGGGTGGAGCGTCTATGATAAATTATGTGCTCCTTTTGTATGAGTCTACTATTATTTTATAGACTAGTGGAAGCTTATTTATCCTTGTCAGTGAATTTTGATACCGTATGTTGAACTTGACAAAGAAGCAGAACTTATAGTGGACCTTTACCTGTATCTTTAAAAATAACAACAAAGACACCTTTGGAAATGTTTAGTAATGACTAGGGATGCACTGATACCATTTTTTCTGTATCGAGTACGAGTACCGATATTTATATTTCGGTACTCGCCGATATCGGTACTTCTGGTAGCATGGAGCCGGCTTCCTGACTAATTGTCATTACTCGCTTCTTGATTGCCTGGGAAAACGGCTCGATGCTGTTTGGTGGGCTCGATGCTGATTGGCCGGGAAGCTGGCTTCCCAGCCAATCAACATCAATCCGGCTTCCTGATTGGCCAGGAAGCCGGCTCCATGATCCCTTGCGGCACTGCCGGTGAGAGGAAATCTCCCTCTAACCGGAAGTTCTGGCATCGGGGGTAAGTATCGAAGCATTTGGACGAATACTCACCCAAATACTCGGTATCAGCACCGATACTAGTATCGGGATCGGTGCATCCCTAGTAATGACAATCTACAAACACATACTTCTAGATAATTGACAGATTTCTAGTCTTCGTATACCTTATTTCTCTTTTCTTCCCCAGTCTTCTGACAGCGGCCATGTTTACTAAGGGCAGATCACTGGCTCTTCTTTTACTTCCTGGATTTCTGGCACATGTGACCAGACATGTGACTAGGACATGTGACCATGCACATCATCTCAGGGGAGGAAAATGCCTTTCCTTGAGATCTCGTGAGATTATAGATGAGATTTCCCAGCAATGCTCTGCTGATGACAAGGCAATCCCAGTGTGCATTGCTGTGGCAAATTGAAGTCATTTTTCCCTTTCAAAGCAGGAAGTGAATGCTCTGCAAGTGTAAGTATTTCAAAATCACAGCAGTTTACATCTGACTTGAACGTCAGAGTTCTTATATGCACCTCTGAAGGACGGTTAGCGCTGTACATCTGACATGTCCATGTTATTATTAATCATCGTACATAGAGGGGATGCATTGGTAGAATTAGATTTTTAAGTGTAAAGGACCACTTTAACTTGTATCTGACCTCCTTTCTTCTGAAATAAATGTTTTTTTACATTTACCATTAGGAAACATATGGCTTAGCATTCCAGAACTTATAGCTAAGAAATTCTTTTAGTTGAGTGACTCAGATTAATCTATTTGCTGACCACAGCAAGGCAGCCACTGTATTCATTGTACAAAGCTTACAGGCCTTACTATTATGTGCAATGTAATCACACAGCAAGAAAAACAAATGATAGGAAGATCATCGACCCATGAGCAGAGTGCAACCAGGCGAAATGCAAATGCCATTGTTATTCCATGTTGTTTCTTTTACCTACAGCCACAGTTAACCACTATAAGCAAATATTTCACTGTAATCATTCAAATTGATTTTCAAACCAAAATCGGAACACTCAGGTTTGCAAACACCAGTATTCAGTAATGATTCAGTGAGCCATCATTGCTGACACTGGTTAGTGAATAAACTAGGCTCTGAAAGAGCAATTTTACATTAATCAGGTTGCTAAGTTGCATTGTACCCCCATTGCATCCCTACTGCATAATGAAACATGCTGAGATCAACAGACACAAAAGGCAGGCAAATCCACCTAATGTAAGAGGTTTGTTAAAGTCGAACTATGGCCAGTATAAAAAGATAAATGCCAGTGAAGTCCACCGGAGGCAGCTTCCTGTAATGGTGTGGCAACAATGTTGCATTGCTCCTGAATTCAGAGCAGAGTTGCCACTCTCATGTAGGCTGTGCCTTCTTGCTCTAAATTGGGAAGAAAAAAATAGGCTGTGGCTATCAGCATTGTCACTGTTAATTCATGGGTCTGTAGCTTATCAATCAGCACCTAGACACACCTAGTCCTGCCCACTGCTTTCTGGATTGACAGCACTGCCCCTGTTGATGAAACTCTCCCACTGTGAGCTGCAGTGTCTGGGAGGGATAACGTGTGGAGCACAAATGATGAAGGATTTGGCACAGTCAAGGAAGATGTTTGTTTATAGTATTAGACTTGTGCATCACATTGTAACTGAATTTGTTCCTTGTTTAGACTGGCACACAGGAGCATTTAGTTTAATCTTAAAGGAGAACTATGAGGTGAGTGCTTTTCACTCACCTCATAGTTCTAGCCAACCTGTGACAATGAGACTGTCACAGGTTGGCTCAGTAGATCGCGGTATACTGAGCTTAGGGTGACGGGAGGACGCTAGTTTGTGTCCTCCCGTTACCCTAAGGAGAACTATGGGGAAAAGCCCTGACCCCATAGTTCTCCTTTAAAGGGAACATGTCAGGATGGGACTACTGCAGCTGCTTTTGCTGGCACTGAACCAGTGGAGCCAGAACTCCTAACCTGTACAGTTGCCCCGAGTCATTGATCTATTAAAGTGACTATTAAAGTGTTATTTTAACAACAAAAATAAATGCCACCAGACAGGCACCTTGAAGGATGTAGGGGGGTGGGTGGGAGTGGGAAAACTCCAACACTATCAGTAAGGGCCTTATCTTTACCCGATCCAGGCTAGCCAAGCATTTGGAGAGAGAAGGGGCACAGATAAGCATATATGTGATTGTAGTGTTTGGGTTATTACATACTGTAAGCTATACATAGCTGTATGATCTTTACACAGTTCTGTGTGCTGAATGTTTTAGAGTGATGTTAATAATAATCGCTAGGCCTTTGGTAAAGCATGTTGAATACAATTAGATAAGTGTATGCTTCCTGTGGTGAGAGGTCACTACAGCACAATTGCATGACATCCTGCCCAGCAATGGTAACATATTAACATTTTCAGAATTGTACATGATTTTATTTGATTTGAAATAGTTGAGTTGATGTGTTTGATTTGCATGAACAACAAGCATCCGTCTGCATGTACTTTTTGTCTCTTGTAATTTCTGATTCTGTAATAATGTTGGCAAGGGAGACCATTAAACAGTTACTTATATTGCATCCTAATTGTTGCTGTCATTTTCCTTCTGCGAGTTAGAAAGTTAAATTAAAAATCTGATTATAGTGTATTGCAAACATATTTCTTGTCAAGGCTTTTCAGTGTAGCTGAAGCACAAAGAGCACTCCTAAAAAAGAAGGTACCTGCATGTACCATTTCACCACAAACCTACAAAGTATGGGTATTTTTACTCATTTTAGGATAGTGAAGGAAGGCATGCAAATCAGTCCTTTTTGCTCCTTAGCCAACTGCGCATCAAGACCCGCTGGTTTACAGTTTAGGTGCATACTGTAGGGGCATTTTTTCCAAAATGCTCCAAACTATTTCAGGGTGTGTAAACATGGTTTCTGTGGAGTAGGGCTCAGGGAACAAGTACTGTATAACCAAAAAGGATGGGTTATGGTGAGGTGGGATAGAAGAAAGTATAGCCATAACCTGTCTGGCTATAATATATAATTGGTCCTCAAGCCCTACTCCACAAAAGCCATGGTTTCCCGACACTACACTAAATGATGACGAATAAAACTAGAAACAGTTTTGTGCACTTTGGAATAAATGGCTTTATAATAGACTGTATATGTGAAATATTATTATTATTATTAGTAGTATTATTACATAGTATTTATATAGCGCCAACAGTTTGCACAGCGCTTTACAATATAAGGAAGACATTACAGTCACAATACAATTCAAGACAAGATGGTAAAGAGGGCCCTGCCCGTGAAGGCTTATAATATAAAATAGTAAGGGGGAAATGATACATGAGGAGGTAGCTGTGTTGGGATGAATTATTTTCTGAATGTGATGGTTCAGTGGTTAGGTTGAGGTGGGATAAACCAGCCATTCTGGATGTGTAGATAGCTTAGAGGCAAAAAGGAATTATTTTCATAGCTCCACCCTAGGAATAAACACCTTATTTTTTAGGTTTGCAACGGAATTTAAATGAGGTCTACAACTTATACAAATACAGCAATCCTTCATTTTATATTTGGACTATTAATATAATAACATAATAGGTTATTCAGATTAATATAATAAGATATAATAGGTCATTCAGAAATACAAGTACTTATTGATACTCACTGTATTCAGTTGTTTGTCCACCGGCAAATTGCAGTTACTGAGCCTGATGGTACAACATGGGGAAGACTGATATAGACAGTGTTCAGTTTTTGGGGATATTCAGTTTGCATGGAAAGCAGTTCTGAAGAGAACAAACACTCATTGACTGACACTAAGGGGGTGATTTACTAACCTAAACACACGCACGCACTAGGTGCGTGTGATTTTCACACAGCAAAACGTATTTATCAACCAAAAAGTCTCTAAAAGCATATTTCCACTAATGCCATATATGGAAAAATCATGCACATGATGCATATATAATGCTGCTTCACAGTTTAGACAAAAATGGTTAGCTCATGCATTTACATTCCTGCATTCATCAACGCAAGCAGCACAACATAGAGCTATTTTACACAACATCACCTTGCAATTCATGTAAGGCTTTGCACAACACACCTGCTGGGTGTGTACACACTACAAAGGTGTTTAGATTCCACCCATAGATCATGCTGGGAGCGAACACAACATGTATACACACAGAGGTGTATACATGTTCGTGGTGTGTTTATAAGGTTAGTAAATCAACCCCTAAGTCTGTTTGGATACATGTGTCTGAAGAAGGTGGAAACCCCTTGATGATTCCAAAATGATAGAGGATTTCAGATTAAACTGGATATCCTCTTTAGAGCCCAATTAAAGTCATAGAAATAGATATTCAGTCAGATAGACGTTGCTCTAACAACTTCTTATTGTCTGTTGGTGTAACTGTTGCTATTGATATCTGTGAAGATATTAGTTAATTCATGGATCTTAACAACAACAGTAACATCCTCAGCCAGATAAGAGAGGTTTTCCATGCATCACTACACAAAATCACTTACCTCTGAACAGTAACAATCATAGATAATGATACTTATAAAGGTGATATAAATATATATACAAGTACTTGAAATGTAGTAAAGTCATTTTTTCAAATAAACACTTTCTAAATGACTGTAATAGGGAAATCACAAATATGATATACTGAACCAATTATATATTTTAATAAGTCCATACATATAAACTATGGGAAGAGCAGGTGATACATATTTTGGAACAGTGTTCCGTTTTGATACACCACCAATTCATGCATGATCATTGTAAGAGCTAGGCACATTACACTCTTCCTGGTTATAATCAGCCCTCTCTTTCCCTCTTACCCCTCTCCTCCTCCCCATTCCAGCCAATCATCTTTGTATCGGACAGAGCAAACAGCAATAAGGAGTTGAGTGTGGATGAAGTGTCTGACGAAGAGAAGAAAAAAAAGGCAGCCGATCAAAAAGAGAAAAAAGATAAGGTCATTGCGCCTTCCATGATTCTCATAATGTACCATTGCTGGGCAAGATAGTAATAATGGGTCAATGTAGTGATTAGAATGTGATTCACGGTCTGGTAAAAAATCTGAAGGTAATCAGAGACATTACATGGGAGGTGGACATGAAATACTAATTTGGCCACTTAATGTAATTCCTTAACATGCATCATCATACATCATGCACCTGCTCTGGCCCAATTATCTCTACAGAAAAAAGATTGGAGACAAATGAGTTGGTAGATTCAACTCTCTTCTAAAGCTGGCTACACACCAACAATCTGCTTGTAGATTCTCCTTTAGGTTTACCAATAACCATGTAGTGTGTAGGCCTACCTGAGCATTCAGTTTATATCCAGTCAGGTAGACCTTCACACATAGGCGTGTGCAGAGGGTGTACTGGGTGTGCCTGGAAACCCCCTAATCACCCTGAATGCAACACCAAATCTACAACAGCAGGTGCTGTGTTTTTAGTCACTGAGCTGGTGAAGAAGTCACAAAGATCTCTCTGTGACCAGCTCAGCGATACAGATGCAGCAGCATATGCCACTTACATTCCTTACATAACAGCCGCAGTTCTCAGTGCCTGGGAAGCTGCAAGGGGGTTTGACTGTGGCTTCCCATCCAATCAGGAAGCTAGGTGGGTGATCACATGACCATTTTCTAGGCTCCCTGCTTCATTACTGCACCACTGCTGGAAGATGTAAGGGACAGCTGAAGAGATGGGAATTCGGGATGCCTCAGGTCTGTGTATATAATATGTTTAAATATATATATGTGTGTGTGCTTATACTTTTGTGTGCACACCCTATGCAATAGGCTGCGCATGCCAATGCTCTCACACAGCACAATTGTTGGTAATCTAAATCAGATTAAAATGTTTGTGGTAAATCACATGATGGACATGTAATGTCAATGGGTACCCTAAAACCCTTTCCTAATCCTGCCACACCATTAATTTATTCAGTACGTTGGTCTAAAGAACAATGAGAATGTGTAACATGTAGTAATTCAAAGCAACCACATTTTAGCTTAGTTAAGTAAATTCAGAGTAAGTTGTTTGCTCTGAGTTACTGCAATAATTAGTGAATTGTGTTTTGTATGCAGTACATCTGATGTGGTATCTCATGCCATTTGGCACAAAGGAAAAAAAGAGTGTTTTTTGTATGACTAACATAAGCAAGGCTGGGTTCACACCTAGGCATATCGAATATGCGCGTTTGTCGCGTGTTTCGTGCCGCGTGTTTTTAAACATTGAAAAGAAGCACTGCCTGCAAAGAAAGCAATTAAAAGTTACTTGTCCTGCTGCCCACTCAGCCAAACTCTGCTGCATTGTAGAGAGAGGCTTGCTAAAAAGTCTTCAACATCCAGCACATTTCTGGGTGTGTCGGATACCTGCTCCACTACTGTGCTTTGTGGTTTCTTTCCACCAGCTCCTACTTCACAATTGTATCATGTAGTAACATAGGGGGCCGGCAGAAGGAACCACAGAGCACAATGGGGAGCACAATAAGAATGTTATTGTTGTGCTTTGCATTAATATAGTGCCAGCATTTTACGCAGAACTTTACAATGTTATGTGTTTAGATTCAGGGCCGGTGCAAGGTGCATTTTTCCGCCCCCCGGGCACCCTCCAAAACTAATAGGAGATATCCATGTGATATCCATGTTACAGGTCAAACCAATTAGTTTTCACACTGACAGCCAATGTAACCAAAGTATTCGCCCTGTCCACAAATGTAACGAAAGTATTCATACTGACCGCCAATGTAACCAAAGTATTCACAATGACCGCCAATGTAACAAAGATATACACCATGCACAGGCCCAGATTCCCCACAAGGCCACTAAGGCCGACCTCGGGCGGCAGGGAGCAGAGGGGCGGCAGCAATGTTGAATCCCCCGACGGCCGAAACATGCAGTTACGGGCGCCGGGCGGTAAGTTATTTTCTACATTTAGCCCTGTTTTGGGAAAGCAAGGCTAAATGTAGTGTGAAGCCGCTTGTTCGTTCCACATCCCCCCCGCACCTACCTCTCTCCTCGCTCCGCAGCTGAGTCTCTCACTGGCCGACGTTGTGGTGAGCAGAGTGGGAGGGTTAAAATTAACCCTGCCGCACCGTGTATACAGCGAAAGGGAAAGCTGTGCTCTTCCCCTCTCTGCTTTCACAGGAGTTCTAGCACAGTGCTGTGCTAGAACTCCTGTCCTGGAGGTGACAGGGTCACTGAAGAGAACCTTTCACCTCCAAATGCTATCACACAGGGGTTGTTAGCTCCTGTGTGATAGCAATAAAGTTAAGTGAAAAAAATGTAATTAAAAAATAATTAAACATAAATAAACAAATTAGTACAAAATAATTAGAAATAATAATTAAATAAAATGTTTTAAAGATGGGGCGGCGATTTGCATATGAATGAGCCGCAATATTTACATATGAATGGGCCGTGTGTTATTGATATGCAAATTGACGTGGCCCATTCATATGTTAATATCTCGGCCGGGGCACAACAGGAACAGCAAGCTTCGGAGAGAGAGAGAGAGTAGAGGGAGCTGTGGGCAGGGCTCTGACTATAGGAAACTGAAGATCAGAGCCCCGTCGATTGTGCGGCTCCTCTGTATTGGAGGGAGGCGCTGTTTTTCCGCCCTCCCCCACCAGCGCCCTCAAGCGGCCGCTTGTGTTGCCTATGTGGTAGCACCGGCCCTGTTTAGATTAAGCACTGAGATCCTGAGGAATGTGGAATTAAGTTTTACTTGCTTAGGAGAACAATACATCAGAATACAGAATTGTATATAGTAAACTAACATTGCACTACAGCGCCTTCTGCAGCACAAAAGACAGATTTTCAGTATTTCTAACACCCCTTCTCAACAGCATATGCGCTTCTTTATGACGTTTAGCTTCTCCCGAAGGAAACTGTGATGAACCTTTGACACTGACTCGGTGAGTGCACCTGCAGTCATCACTTCTGATGTGCAATATTGAAAGTCGATAATAGCTTTTTCTTGAGTGTCCCTAAGCAGATGATACTTCACATCGATATGCTTGGTTCTAGTGTTGACCCTTTCTGATTGTGTCTGAGCAGTATATGACAGCTTACAGGGTGGCATTCCCTTTGTTGCCCAACTGGATCTTCTAATTTCAGGTTGTTCAGCAGAATTTAACATGGAATTTGACTTATCCATTGTGAGATCCACCTCTTGTTCTGAGTCCTGTGCGGCTTCACTTTGCTTAGTTTCCTTTGCTGGTTCACTGGGCAAATTCACTTAACATCTCATTGGGATCATTGTTTCTGGTGATGGGTTCTCATCAAAATAAACGCTGCCACTTATTTTCACTTTGTCAGTCTTTGGGTGGAGAATCCTATATCCTTTACTTTGTTCACTTTAGCCCATCAGAATACATACTATGGCTGTGTCCTCCAGTTTGGATCACTTCTCATTTGGAATATAGACGAAAGCTTTACATCCAAATACTCGAATGTGTCCCAGGCTAGGCTTCGATTCATGCCACATTTCAAATGGGTTGCTTTCAACGGCTTTTGATGGTAGTGTGTTCTGTAGGTATGTTGCAGTCATGACTGCTTCTCCCCAGTACTTCTTAGGTTAGTGTCTGACAGCATGCATTTGGCCATTTCTATAAGAGTGCGATTTTTCTGTTCTGCTACCCCCATTTAATTCAGGAGTGTATGGTGTGGTTGTTTCTTCAGGTATGATTCCACTTCCTTACTGATGTACTCCCCTCCATTGTCAGTGCATATAATTCCTGGTTTCCATTGGAAATTGTTGCTGGACAGGGCTACGAACTCTTGAAGTGTTTCTGATGTTACGTTCTTGTGCTTCATCAGATAAGTTGTTGTGTACTTGGAATAATCATCAATGAAAGTCAGTAGATATCTGTTCCCACCTGATGTGGGAGTTTTCATTGGTCCGCACACATTGCTGTGTATGAGCTCCATGGGGTGGGTGGCTTTTCTTTGAGTGGCCTGTGGAAGTGGGGTACATGTGGCCTTTGCTTCCATACAGCATTTGCATGTGTAGCGCTCGCCAGTGGCGTAACCAGAGTTATGGGCGCCCGGGACAGAACATTTTTTTTCGCCCCCCCCATATTATATAAACATCCACTAGAACTGTACCCCCCACCCCCACACATATATATCAGCTAAGGAACTACAAGTCCAAGCATGCCATCATTGTCCCTGTACATCCCCCCCCACACACACATATCACCCAGGGAACGGCAATATCTGGTTGTTGTACAGGGGCAATGAGGGCATGCTGGGACTTGTAGTTCCCTAGCTGATATCTTATGAAGCTGTATTCCAACTGAAAGTACTACAATGACATTATAGAACTAAGAATAGAACATAAAATACAACTTTTTTTTTTTTTAATACTCACCTGATTCCTGGATCCAACAAGCGCGGCCTCCCGTCTCCCACGCTGTTAGAAGTTGCATACAGCGTGTGCTGGTTACTACTTAAACTGGCGCGCGCAGTGTGCAGCTTCTGACAAGATACGCTATTAGCATAGCGGGGAAGGCGGCTGCGCATTTTGCATCACTCCCGCTACGCTAATAGCGTATCTTCTCAGAAGCTGCACACTGCGCGCGTCGGTTTAAGTAGTAACCAGCACACGCTGTATGCAACTTCTAACAGCGTGGGAGACGGGAGGCCGCGCTTGTTGGATCCAGGAATCAGGTGAGTAGTATTCAAAAAAAAAAATGTTATTTTATGTTCCCGGGGACATTTAAAAATGTCCCCGGATTTTATTTTTAAAAAATGTGTCACCTTACCTTAGCCTGGTGGTCAGTGGGGGCTTCCTGGACCCTGGTTGTGGGGGGGTCTGCCGTGGACCCTGGTTGTGGGGGGGGTCTGCCGTGGCCGCAGGTGCAGTGGCTCCTTCCCTCATGCATATGGCTGGCCAGCCCGCCCGCATCAGACGCGGCTCTGAGTGATAATCGAATGCAGAGGCAATTATGATAAAGATTAGATACATTTATATAGTCTTGCAGGCTCTTTGAGGACAACCATAATGTTGATGCAGCCCACGATTTAAATTGAGTTTTACACCCCTGCCTTAAGGGCTTTCTTGTTTTATTCATTGTACATATTTTCTTACCTTCTGTCATATTTGTTGTAAATTATTATTGAAATAGATATGTTAGGGGTATAGTTAGGGTATATGCTTATGTATTGAAGGAAATTCTTTTGGCTGATGTTATTTAACAAACCTATGCTAACTAGGTTTGTATTGTGTAAGTTTCTTGACCTGTTGACCATACTGTTTTCAGGGTGTTGATTGTACACAATGGAACAGCTGTAGGGAATTTTGTCAAAACCTGTATAGTTAACTAACATTAAAGGGGTAATTAGACCAGCCAATCAGAACATCAGCCAAAATAATTTCCTTCAATACATAAGCATACACCTTAAATTTACCCTTAATTTATCAGTTTCAATCATAATTTACAACAATATTAATCGATTAATTTTCCTTTGGTGCATTCTAATGTTAGTTCCTGCTCAGGTCTGGTTTCTAGAGCGTTAATAAGAGTACTGAATGACACTGGAAGCCTGCATAGCAGTAATGCCACCACATGGTTATCTTTAATTTCCTTTCAATTGCACACAGTTGTTATATGATTTCCAGCATGTCATTCACATGTTCACGCATTTCCTGGCCTATTTCTAGCTTCATCTTACATAGCTTACGCAGCAGATATAGTTTACTGTTTAGGTTTGAACGCTCATGTAATTTTTGTAATGCAGTCCACATACTTTTAGCTGTATTCTCTTTTCTTATGTCGATGAGCTGGTTGTCTTCCACATAGCAGACTTATAATTGCTTTTGCTTGCCTGTTCTTCTTGTCCCATTCCTCAGTGGGTCCATTAGTGGGTCTGTATGTACTCGGTACTTGTCATAAGTCATCTTTGCTTAGCAGCATTTCAAGCTTGAACTTCCTTAGTTAGTAGTTGGTATTGTTGAGCTTTGCAATTGCAAACTTCATATCTAAACTGCTTGCCATCTTTCAGTAGCTTGGATGTGGCTTTTTTTGAATTGCAGTGCTCTGTTTAGTAAACAAGATATAACACAAACACCAGCAACATGTATCCAAGATGAAAGTAGATAATCTTCAATGGTTAATGTGATATACTTTTGAGGCTGCTCTTGCTGGTTTAGGGAAACCTCAGAACTGAAATATAAAGAACACAGAGAGCGCCTCCATCGCATAAAAACTTTTTAATAAAACAAAATAAAACAGCTGAAATGGTACTCACAAAGTTAGAATATTAGCAGGCAAGAAAAATCATGTGTAATGGACTTAGCCAGCCGGCTGTCAATCCTTTCTGGTTGACGCGTTTCCGAGGTCATGCCTCCTTCATCAGAACCCCTGAAAATAATCGATGATATGTCAGTTCCACTCTATCCCTCGTTCTTTTCGGATCTCAGATCTGTCTAGCGTAGGCTCTTTGTCATTATAGTGATAGCAATAAATGATATTCTATTATATTAGTATACTGCTAATTTGCAAGAACCCATAACAGTTAAATAGGTAGTCCCAACATACCCTATATAGAGTATCTGCATGTTAGGTGAAAGTAAAGTCAGCAGTCAGATCCCTCCTTGTATGGCCATTGATTGCTCTAAGTTTGGTGTACTGCTCTTTGGGCAAATAAAGCTTATGTCTAACTCGGAGACCATTTTTTCCCCTAAACATGTCTCATGTTTTTATTGATTGCAAATGCATCATGTTGTTGTTAGTGGGATATAATATTAATAATTCACTATAAAATGCGGTTAAAAAAATTACACTACTCCTGTATTTTGTAGACCTCCGGAAACACAGACAAAGAAACTGAAGAGGAGAAGCAATTCAGGAACATCTTCCAGCAGATTGCAGGGGATGTGAGTACTTAAAGTGGTACTGGAGGTATTATTTTGGCCTGTTGGCCACATACAGTAGATGCAGCCAGAAGAAGGGGTGAGGCTGCCATCTGGTGTTTGAGCAAATGATCAGCCCATTTATGAGTGTGAATAGGTCCATATGTTTTTCTTTTTTTCTTTAAAAACATAGTAAATTGGAGGCAAAGATGTGAAACAACAAAGCACAAAAGGCAGCCACTCTGATCAGTTTGAAACTAACAAAGAAGTAAAGGCCCACACGGGCAGGGCAATATACAAAACAATACAAAAGGGGATCAATTTTAAGCTAAATTGATAGTTAGCAAAAAATGCTGTCTAAACTGTTTCAACTAATAATGATAAACACAGAGATTTTTGTTTCATACATTCGCAAATGCATGTAAAACCACACTGGTCCCTGACTCAAAACTATCTGAATTTCTAACTATGGGGCATATATAGCATTGGACAAACTGAGAACAGGCTTACCTGCGGGCAGCCCCTCCTTCTTAAAGGTATAGCATCATACCAAAAGCCCAGACATTACACGAGGCAGCTGAAGACTTCCAGTGTTCTATATACAACCCTGGATGGGGGCTGTAGGGTTTGAATTCTGCTGATTCTAAGGTATAATAGTGTCATTGTCGCACCAAATGCAATATCATTTAGTAATGTATTATTTTGTTAAAATATGGTTTCACCTTCGACAAAATAATGTTGAAAAGCCTTACATGAAGTGATTTCCACCCAGCAATCAGCTTAGGGATGTTTGAATGCCTGGAATTGATTGGCTTCCGTTGCCTCTTTTGGCTTGGCTTTCACTTTCTTTCTTTGGCTTATGTTTTCATATCTGGTTTTTATTTTAGGACATGGAGATCAGTGCTGATGAGCTGCAGAGTGTTCTGAATAGAGTTGTAAATAAACGTATGTATCCATACCATGTACTATCCACACTGAAGGCTTCTAGAATATGCATACTTTACAAAGCACCAAAGTAATATATATAAACTTAAAACAAAGCTACGGCTGAAAATTCAAACTGTTTAAAATGTTAGCTCTTTCCAAAGCTAATATTTCAGTTTTCTAATATGACAAATGCCATGACAAAGCCAAGTGATGATATCATGCCCTCTCAACACTGAGTTAGTTCAGCAGTGAGAGTGGTACCTTCACTATGGCCTTGTGAGAAACAGTAATTATTTACTTACATAGACAATTCAACCTTTCAGTAAAAATGGAAATTGGCTGAATCTGGCTTTTAGTTTACACTTTATTCAATAGTTACACGACTATTGTATTTGATTTATTAACATTAGGGACATTGAAATAAATCTATCAGTATTATGCTCAATGTCTGAACTTATATAGAACAAAGGGGGGTAATCTGATACTAAATGTGATTCTAAAGGAAAAAGTTATTTACAAAAAGCTGAAATTAGTTCAAAACAGTTAAAAACTAACTAAAGATCAGTTTTCAAAGAGGAGAAACTCAAGGAGAAAGTAGAGAGGAAAAACTCAAGGAGAAAGTAGAGAGGAGGAACTCAAGGAGAAAGTAAAGAGGACCTCTCTAATCTTTTGTGAAGCTGTATTCTTTCACAAAAAGGACAATATGCAGTTCAGTGTTGGTATTATCTAGCTTTTCCATGTGTAAACTTTCATGTACATAGCTCGGAGATAATGAATCGTAGTTCAATAGGATAGGCAAAGCAATATTCCAACTGAGTTATCCATATACAGTAAGCTGTATTGAAGTGTCATTCATTAAGACCACAGAGATTGATGTGTGAAAAAATATGCACTGTGATGCATGTGTGTTTCCTTCCCACATTATTGTCCAAAAAGTGTTTACAATTCAAAATACTTCCTAGATTCAGGCACTGCAGTCATATTGCATATACAGTATTTCTGTCGGTTCATAAACTTTTCACTGTGCATCCAGCATTCATATCCAAATGAGGTAACAATATCTGCCAAATATGCCCCATGAGCAGACTTATGATGGACAATAGGATTGCACTGTAACAAAAAGAAAACTCACAGTTCAGCTCTCAATAAACACAAGATATTCACATTTCTAGCAAAATTGCAGATTTCCATCCAAATGTTGAGAAACTGGCATATTCCCCAATCATTCAAAAAGTGTGTAAAATATACTCATCTTTTATGTAGAACAATCTTTTGTCACGATACCATCATCCCGAAGTCCATAAGAGAAGAGTGCCCTCAGCACCTTTGGCAGATTTTTCTTAAATGTATTGGTTGCAGAGAATATACAGACAGGTGGATTGGATGAAGTCCCAGGTGTGAAAAGATTCAGCAGTTATTGGGGGGTCACTAAAGAGATAATTCATAGCAGCATTGGCCACAAATACCTGTAAATATGATACATGTTACTATTAGTAAATACATCCACATAGTACATAGCATTTGGGCATGCTTACCACAAAAATAGAGCCAGATGCAGTTTCCCATTTTTGGACCATTAGAAAGGAATATGTTAACTTCCTTATACACACACACACACACACACACACACACACACTATAGGTTGGACTTGATGGACATGTGTCTTTATTCAACCTCAAATACTATGTAACCTAAATATAGGAGCAGTCAGTGAAAACGGTTTAATTTCAACCTGTGTTTTACCACCTGTTTCCATGACCTGTGAGCGTCCAGTTCCCTCTCTGTATTACTCATTGCATACAAGCTGCATCCTGACTACATTCCAGACTCCATGTCAGTTCTGTTTGAATAAATATGCACTTGTTTTGTGATTTATGTAGAATGACTGCAAATTGTTGTTTTTTTCCCAGATAAAACCCTCAAGATTGAAGGATTTACCCTGGAGTCTTGCCGCAGTATGATTGCTCTCATGGATGTATCCTTTTTGTATGCATTTAAGTTGACATATACATACAGTCAGCAAAAGCGTCACCTCTAAGTGTAATGCCATTTATTCAATGTAGATTAAAAATGATCAATGGACCCACAAATGTATGATGCACAGCGCTTTGAACTGCAGTAATTCCACTGAAAAACGAATGAGATCATTCACTTTCTGGCGTAATTGCAAACAGCAGTCGACGATCACTACTGTCACAAAGCTGACCACTGTAAGCTTCAGCTGACGTGTTTTCTGGGGCCATGCCCCCAGGCCCGGATTCCCCACAAGGCCACCGAGGCCCGGCCTTGTGGGGAAGTTCGGGCGTCGGGCAGTAAGTTGCCCTCTCTACATTTAGTCCTGCTTTGCACAAGCAGGTCTAAATGTAGAGTGAGGGAAGGCGATTGTTCGTTTACATGTGATCTCAGGGATGTCGCCAAGATCACATGTAAAAAGTCTGCAGCCTTCCCCCCTGCACTTACCTCTCTCCTCTGGTTCCGTCCTCCGGGCTCAGCCGCCGAGTCTCTCTTCACTGCAGTGAGCAGAGCGGCAGGGTTAAAAGTAACCCTGCCGCTCCGTGTAGACCAGTCATGTCCAAAGTCCGGCCCGCGGGCCAATTGCGGCCCGTGTTCCGGTTTAATATGGCCCCACAGGTAATTTGGCAAAATCTATCTGTTGTGGCCCCCAGTGAATCCCTGAGCGCCGCTCAGGACCCCTGGGATCTCAGGATCTTTCAACGACGCGGAACTGCGCGTCCTCAGTCAGCGTTCTCGCGATCTCTCGGACGTCGCGGGATTTGGTGCGTTCCTTCTTCCTGCGCGTGAGGACAAGAGTAAGTGACTCTCACCTACGTGACATTTTGCGCATTAAAACCACTGCCTTTGAACCAGACCTAGCCTACGTGCTGCAGTCCAGATCTCAGTTTCACCCTTCACATTAGAGCAGGCAAGTTTTTTTTCCCAATTGAGATGAATACAATATGTTGAATTGTATAAATATATTTGGACACAACATGTATACTTGGCGTTATGTTCCTGTTCATATTTTTTTTAACTTAAAAGTTGACAGACGACCTTTATTACCAATAATATGTAATGTACTTTACAATGTTCCTGACATATATTTCAGCTTCATGGATTTTTTTTTCATCTGGCCTTTATATATGAAAGGCAGAGTGATTTAACACCTGTTTGGATTTGTCATCTATGTGACAAAATGAAAAGTATGCCGTTTGCAATAAACTTTGCATAAAATAGTTAATTTGCATTTAATTTTAATGGTTCAAAGAATGTCAGGCAAAATGGTCGGCCCTCACGCATGTTTACTTAATCAAATATGGCTCTCTTTGAAAAAAGTTTGGACACCCCTGTGCTCTTCCTCTCTCACTTGTCACAGGAGTTCCAGCACAGTGCTGTGCTAGAACTCCTGTATAGGAGGTGACAGGGTCAATAAAGAGAACCTGTCACCTCCAATTGCTATCACACAGGGGATTGTTTTCTCCTGTGTGATAGCAATAAAGTTAGGTGAAAAGAAAAATTAAATTGGTTAAAAAAAATTAAATTATACTGAGCTTTGGGTGATGGGAGGGCACTAGTTTGTGTCCTCCCGTTACCCTTAGGAGAACTATGGGGAAAAGCCCTGACCCCATAGTTCTCCTTTAAGATCGAAAGCCAGCCAATCCTGAACATGATGTCTCTATGATATGCTGTCTCTATGATATGGCAAATGTCGATTGGTCAAGGCAGTAGCCTATCAAATTAAAGCCTAGCTCCCTGTCAATGCAAAGCATACTGCTCCGGCTGCGAGTAGTGTAGCCACCTGTCCAGGATTCACCGGGACAGTCCGGGTTTTGAATGCTGTGTCTGGGTTTCATGGCAGCCCAAACCCTGACAAAAGATGTCAGGCAGACAGGGGCAACCAAAATTAAGATAAGGGCTTTTGGTTCTCCACTGAAAATTGTCTCGACTGATATTTACATACTGTATTAATGGGTGGCTCTATTTACATATGAATAAGCCGCAACTCATTCTCCCCAAACATTTTTGTGCGTCGCTAGTGTTCGGGTTTCACTGGAAGAAAAGGTGGCAACCCTAGCTGCGAGTGTTTGTCAGATTGACACATGGCTGGTGTTAATCAATCTCCCTCGTCCCTGGGCTATTATTACAGAGCACCTATAAATAGCCTAGCGATCTAGACGATCCACTAGCAGAGCATAAAGATAAATATATCTGTAAGTTGAAAAGCAATCGGAATTCTAATGTGAGAACTGTAAAAGCATGAAAACATAATGAGATCAAACGCTGCATAAATTAACCTGATAACCCCAATATAAATAGGTAAAATCAGTAATAAGCAAACCTAATAAATAATGGGCAGAAAAGCATTCACCAGGATAGAATAAATATCGAAACAAACATATAAGAGCATGTGAATAAAAAATGCATGTGAAGAAAAACAAACACATGATTACATGCATCAACAATATTCCACATAAAACAGAAAATTATTTAACTCCTTCATGACAGACACCTTTTTTTCATTTTTTGTTTACATATTATAATCAACATTTTAGGCCTGAAAATTACTTAAAACCTCCAAACATTATATATTTTCTGAAAGCCAAGACCCTATAGAATAAAATGGTTGTAGTTGCAAATTGTTATGTTGCACAATATTAGCGCAACTCCTTATCAAACCCCAAAATTTAGGGGAAAATGCATTTAAATGCCCCAAAACACAATAAAATACACATTTGTTTATAAAATATAAAAGATGAGGTTACAACGAGTAAATAGATAACCAACGTACCCAGGTTAACAATTGTGTGCGTCCGTAAACTACGACAAGGTTCAGTACCCCAAAAAAATCTATAGATGGCGCTTTAAAAGCCCCCATAGGTCATCAATTTAGAGATACGCGTAAATATTGGCCCTATAATTATTGCTCTCACTCCGGCATGCAGGGCGATACCCAACATGTGTAGCTCCATCGTCGTTTTCATATATAGGTGCACCTGATGCGTGTTTACGTGCTCGCGGGGGCAGGGGACTTTAAAAACATTTTTACATTTATTTTATTAAATATTAATTTTAAAAACTGTTAATTTTTTTTTTTTTTTACTTTACTTTAATTGCTATCACATAATCTGATAGCAGATTAGTGGTGACAGGTCCTCCTTAAGGTGATACTGGGAGTCCAAAAGACCCCTAGTATCACCTTTCCACTTGAAATGAACTATTGAAGTACATATCACACCTCAATAGCTTATTGCTAGGCTTCAGGAGCCCAGCACTGACAGCTATGGGAGCAGAAGTGATGTAATCGGGGAGGGAATCGGTAAACGGAGGTTCGCCGATCTCCTCCCCAGCTTCCCCCCGACACCAGAGAAACCGGTCCCAGGCTCGTAGGAGGGGCAGAGGAGCCCGGGAAACACGGCGTGGGTGTCGGGACGGGGGCCGTTTACCGACTTCCCATAATATTAAAGTTAAATAGACATGGTAATGGTAAAACGCATGCTACATGGACTGCATGAATGCATTAAGGCGACCAAATATCAAATTAGTATAAATTACTATGGGGGACCCAGTTCTGTATTGCCCATCCTATATTTCCCTTCTATGGGCATTACATTGAAAGGTTCAAGTATATATGAATATACTCTTCTCTGATAACTCAATGTATCCACAGATTCTCAGGATAATGTGTATTAGTATTCACTCCACAGAGAGATGGGTTGGTGGATAAACATGTAATTTTAAGTCTCTAATAAATGTCATCAAATAGCCGGCATGTTCATTCGTGTGTCAGGGAACCAAGGACCCAGACGGAAACTAAAAGTGCAGGTTAAAAATAAAGTTTATTGAAAGCGACAATAAACAAAATAGCAAACAATAGGTAAAACCAAAGACGTAGTCAGAGCTTAGCCAGAGATCAGAAGCCAAAGCAGGTAGTCAGCCTTGCCAGTTATTGGAACGCAGAGAGCAGGATGAACGAGTACAATAGCCGCAGTCTGAAACCAGGAGATCAGTAAACAGAGCCAGGACCATACACGAAGCACAGGAAAGAGCAGAGAGCACATGGTAGGTCTGAACAAACTCAAGGGTAAATACTTGAGACAGGATGTTGCCAGAAGTTCGTCAGAAGTTGCAGAATTATGAAGTTTACAGGTTTGATCATAAGAGGGCACCTAGGAGCAACTGTCAGTGTCAGAAACACTGTACAGAAGCTGAACCTGCAGCTAAAGTAGACAAAGAAGGGTAAGAAACCCGAACAATATGGTTGGTTTGAGAAAGTTTGGTAATTTTGAATGAGGGTGGGCGGCGTGAACATCAGAGGAGGGAACCCAAGAACACTCTTCTGGACCGTAACCTTTCTAGGAATTGAACCTGATCTGTGCACTGACAAGAGTGACGGCACAGTCACATTGGCGGGCAGGGCCGTCTTTAACGCAGGGCTAAAGGGGCAGTCGCCCAGGGCCCAATCAGTGTTGTGGGGTCCAAAGTTAGAAATTGTTTGCCCAGGGTCCAATCAGTATTAAAGACGGCCCTGTTGGCGGGTTGCGCGCACGGGCAGCAAAAGCCCGTCCGATGTTTCACATACACCCGATCGGCGGCTCTATAGCCTGCCGATCGTGTGTATGTGCTGGCTGCGTAAACCTCTCCCCCCCTTCGAGTGCTGTCGCCGAGTCCCCTCCTGACCCCTCACCTTCAATCCTGTGATCCGCTGCCCCATCTGCGGGCCGGGACCGGCTCGGGAGGGTGTCAGGAGTTAAGATGGGAGGGAGATCAGCATCTTCCTCCTTGCTGATCTCCCTCCGTGCTCTGAATGCGGAAGTAATGTGTAATACATCACTTCCGCATTCACCTGTCAGTCATCTGGCTGCTATTGCCAGAGAGAAGAAGCTGATGAAGCAGATCTCTGCTTCATCAGCTTCTTTTGGGGTCCCCAGGTGACATGAGGGGTCTTGGAGACCCCTAATATCTCCATAAAGAGGGCCTGGCAGTGTGCCTTTGCTATTATATAGGGGGATTGTTATCCCCCTATGTAATAGCAATGACATTAGGTGTAAAAAAACATAAAACGAGTAAAAAAATAAATAAAAGTCACATATAAAAAAAGTTTTTAAAAACCCCCTAAAACTTTTATGTCCCCCACCCCCATGTTTACGCACATATAAATGTAAATACGCGTCCGGTGCACCAGCGCGCAAAAACGACAATTGAGCTACACATGTTACATATCGCTGCGAATGTCAGAGTGTGAGCAATAATTTTAGGGCCATCAATCACTGATAACACTAAAATGATGAGCGGTAAAAGCTTTTAAAGTGTCGCCTATGGCCAATTTTGGGTAATGTAGTTTTTTTAGGTTTCACGCGCGCACGCAATTTTAACGCTGGACATGTTTGGTGCCTTTTTACCCAACGTGACCCCGTCTTTTATATTTTACCAAAAAATTGGGTAATAATAAATGTTTTATGATTTAATATAGGGGAAAGTTTTTGTTTTTTTAAAGATGTCGGTAATTTTTCCTTAATATAGTAAAAAATAAAACCCCCAGTGGTGATTAAATACCACCAAAAGAAAGCCCTATCTGTCCGCAAAAAATGGTATAAAATTAATTTCAGTACAGCTTTGCATGATGGAATAAATGTCAGTCAAAGTATCGCAGCGCTGAACACTGAAAAATGGCCTGGCCAGGAAGGGGGTTTAACACCTCAGACTTCAAGTGGTTAAGTTATCCCCCAGGCATTTCACTTTAAGGGTTTTTGTATTTTTAATGTTGCCCTTAAAGTTGTTTGCAAAGACTTTCTTCTTGCTGTATGGTATTTTTTGTTTGTTGTATTGGTACTTGTCCTCCATGGCAGTACCTAGCTTTTAGCCGTCTATTAGCCGTGGCCAGAATTTAATAACAGGATTCGCCCACCATAGACATCAGTGGGATTTTCTGTCAAATTTGGATTCACCAAACTTAAAAGAGGATTCGCCAAACGCTTGGCAAATTACTAGTAAAGAGTGAATGCCTTCAAGCTGCTCCTGGCTCGAAAAAGAGCCCTTCAGAGCTCAAAATGTCACTGCTTAGGAATGGAGATGTGTACAGGTATTCCTCACCTAACGACTTACCTGTTTTGCGACCACTCACACTTACGACCAGCTCTCCGACCATGCGTGCGGGAACGTGGCAGCGGCTGTGCGACGTCTCACCGTCTTCAGTGCAGTACTCCTTTCTCCGCTGCAGGTCTCGGTAAGTATTTAATTGACTGCTTTACAGTGCACTGTACAGTACTGTACATCTCCAACACTATACAGTATGGTACTAATGCAGTACAGTACTGTATACAGTTTCTCGTTTAACGACCAATTTGTTTAACGACCTGGTCGTAGGAAAGGAACTCGGTCGTTAAGTTACGAGACAAGGCTACTAAATTTAAACATGTTCACATTGGAGGTGGGGAGATTAAGGGGGGGATATGATTTCCATGTACAAAATGTTCAATGGTGGTAGCAACATTAGCGATAAACTGTTTAAAATTAACTCCATTACAAAAACTAGAGGCCATCACCTAAAATTGGTGGAAAAAAAATTCCAGCACAAGGGGCGAAGGGGGTTCTTCACAGTAAGATCAGTTAGGGTCTGGAACTCACTGCCACAGGCGGGGATTTCAGCAAATAATGTGGAATTGTTCAAGAAACGTTTGGACGATTTCTTAAGGGACCGTAATATACAGGGGTACGGGTACTCCTAGAATGCGATCCTAATAGGTTGGACTTGATGGACTAATATCTTTATTCAACCTCAAATACTATGAAACTATGTAAGTGAGGAATAGCTTCATGTCTAAAAGAGAGGGAAAAAGCAAAAATCAAAACCTTCTGAAGACAGGAGCATGTGAATGTGATTAAGTGAAATAATCTTCCATGGTCATATAAAGCTCAATTCAGTGAATTATATTGGCAGAGAAATTAAAATATACATAAAATATTTTATACACGTAAAATGTTATACACATAAAATAGTCCTAAGTAGATATTATTATGACCTCTGATCTCTATACCTTTTAAGGACAGCAAAGAGTCCTGTGTGTAAAGCTGTATATTGGACCATTGCTGCATGCTGGACTCTGTTACAAATAGATAAGGAAAGATTTGATATATGTGAAAGGAAGGTTCCTAGGGGAATTTATGTAGATCAACATAAAATAATCTTTATGAAAGACAAAATATGTGTTAAGGTGCCCACACACCTTACGATAATCGTACGATAATCGCGGGAAATCCAGCGATCGTACGATTATCGTAAGGTGTGTGGGAGCCATGCAACCTCTGCTACTGTAAGGTCGCACAACTTTTATCTTAGGAACATGTTCGAAAACCAGCCGAAAATCGTACGATGTTCGGCTGTTTTGTGGCATGTTCGCAAGATAAAAGCTGCACAGGCCGGTGTGCGCAAGCGCATACTGCCCGTTCAGCATTGCGGTCATCGGAAGCCCGCCCCTCAGCGGGGCGGGCTTGCGATCATTGCAAGTATGATCTGCCTGTCCAAGATAGGCAGATCGTACGTTTTTTTAATTACCTTACAACCATCGCAAGACAAAAGTCTTGCGATGGTTGTAAGGTGTGTGCCCAGCATTAGACTATCAGCAATACACAGTACAAGTCAATTGCATGTCAAAAAAAAGACTTACTGGCTGACCCAGATGATGGCTGGATGAAACCAGTAGTGATGCAATAAAGGAGAAGAAAACAGAAATGGAGGGCTATGAGCAAGGACAAAGAAGAATAAAGGATGCTTCTGCACATAGGCTGATCATAAGTGAAAAAACATGTTCCAAAGTAACACATCGGACATGTCAATGCTTTCAATTTAGCAAGTTGGTGGTCAGTTTTTGTAAAACAAGCTGCAAGCAAGCAGATTGACTGCAATGTTTCCAGATGGGGATCATAGTTTCTGTCACAGGTAGTGTATAATAGCCTCCATGGGCAAACTGTGATATAGTCAGGGAAACTGCCTGTCAAAAGTGCCCATAGACACAAACTGGCAGTCAGAAGATTTAACCAATGAACAATCATAGCATCAATCAAACTGTCCAATTGTTCTGCAGATCCACAGCTCTAGGTTTCTCACATACTGGATCTCTCATTTCTGTACTGACAACCTCTAAAACACTGGCTCATACTGTGAAGTGCAGGTAAATGGTATCCCTCCAGCACTCTGAGGATTTGAGGTTCCTGTTTAATTTCCAGGTGAAGTAAGGACTACGAGGCATCTGATTAACATGAAAGGTACAGAAATGTGAATCCTTAACCTATTTTCGTATAGACAGATGGCTGTGGTCGACTGAATTTGCAGGAGTTCCAGCACCTGTGGAAAAAGATCAAGGAGTGGCAGGTAAAGTCCCAGTGCAGTAATCCATAACAACTAGTCAGTAAACCTTTATGGATTACTGAACTGTACATATCACCATGGTCCTTCATAATTGAAGGAAACCTTTACTGACAGATTACGTAGGCTACCATTGCTGACCTCTCTTTTTTGATATGCTTGTTCCCTGTTTCTCATATTGATCCATTGTATTCACTACTTTCTGGATCACTGATCTGAAGCAAGTCAGTTCTGACCTTAACTGACTAGCTTGCGGTGTGTTTTTCTTGGGTTAGTGACTCAAACTTTTGAAGCCAGAGACGGCAAGGCAACTAGCATTTTCAGAAGGACAGCAAGGGCAGTCTACATGTCGGTAAAGACTGTTATTTTTCCAGGTTATGCTATATATTGTATAAGTAAGTCACATTCAACTGGCCCTGTTCTGTAATGTTGGAAATGTTTCACTACTCATCCAAGAAGATTCCGTAGTTCTGAACTGAGGAAACCTATTAGATGAGTGGCAGGTAGAGGTAGTCTACATGTTTCTGTCATTATAGGTTTCCTAATCCTAATGATGTGCATTTGTGTAGAGAAATACAGACATTTGTTAGGTTTTATTATATATTGTTAAAGTAATTGTAGAAATGGGCTTATTTTGCAGATGAGTAATATATTATATTATTTTTTCTAGAAAATATTTATTAAATATGATGCAGACCAGTCTGGAACAATCAACAGTTATGAGATGCGAAATGCTGTTAATGAAGCAGGTAACATTTTATCATGCAACACAGGGAACAGGTATAAAGAGAATCAGTGGTAGATGCAGAGGAATGTGGTATGTGGTAGTAGTGGGTGAGTAGGGTAAGCACAGTGAAAATAAGGGAAATTATGATCAGATCACAAACGTGAAAGTAAGTAAGCTTTGTGGATGAAATGAAAACTGTTGGTAAAGGGTGCTGCTTGATATGCAGCCAAAAGCATCTTACCAAAGTCATGGGACAGGCTGGGCATTATACTTGCACTGCATGTGCAAGAACTGGCATACAGGCTTTCAGCAAATGCTGCCTTGTTAGGCTGGCCCACTAAAAGATACATTTGTCTACATCTGAGGTTTGTCTTTCAATTTTTAAGTCTGAGTAAATAGGCAAGGGGGTTTTAATTATAATTGGTGTTTCTATTTAAACATCAATAAATAAATTCATTACGTTGATGCTACATTGAAAGGCTGTTCACAACTGTTTCATAAGCCTTTGAATGGCTCATATAGCCCACTAGAAGAAGATACTGCATTCACTTAAACAAAGGAAAGTACCTGGGTCTATCTCTGGGAACAGAAAGTACTTGGTTATACCCTGGGAATTAAAAGTGCCTGTGTCTACCTCTGGGAACAGAAAGTACTTAGATCTACCTCTGGTAATGGAAATTACGTGGGTCAAACTCTGGGGATGAAATGTACTTGGGTCTACCTCTGGAAATAGAAAATACTTCGGTCTACCCCGGAAAGGGAAAATACCTGGGTCTACCTCTATTAACAAAAAACTACTTGAGTCTACCACTGGAAATATATAGTACTTGGGTATGCCTTTGGAACCAAAAAGTACTTGGGTTTACCTCTGGGAACAGAAAGTACTAAGGTCTGCCTCTGGTAATGGAAATTACGTGGGTCAAACTCTGGGGATGAAATGTACTTGGGTCTACCTCTGGAAATAGAAAGTACTTGGGTCTACCCCGGAATGGGAAAATACCTGGGTCTACCTCATTTAACAAAAAAACTATTTGAGTTTATCTCTGGGAATATATAGTACTTGGGTCTACCTGTGGAACCAAAAAGTACTTCGGCCTACCTTTGGGAACTGAAAGTGTACGTGTCTACCTCTGGTAATGGAAATTACTTGGGTCAAACTCTGGGAATGGAATGCACTTCGGTCTAGCACTGGAAACAGAAATTACTTTGGTCTACCTCTGGGAATGGAAAGTACTTGGGTCTACCGCTGTCTAATTGTATAATTTCCCACTATCCATGTTGGTCGGATAGACAGCGGACTTATATTCATTTGTTATTTCTTCTTTCTTAGGGTTTCATCTGAACAACCAGCTGTATGACATCATCACAATGCGCTATGCAAATAAGCATATGAACATTGACTTTGATAGCTTCATTTGTTGCTTTGTTCGCCTGGAAGGAATGTTTAGTAAGTTTAATTTAAAGCCTGGTGCTAGATTTTTCCACATAGTTTGTGGTAGAATATTTAAATAAGATACCTGCTTATCCTGGGCTGTCCTGCTGGGAAATAAGCTGTAATGTTAATCTGTAGGTGGAGGGCGAAGCCAACACTAAGGGAACTACTTATATGAGTCTAACACTAAATGTGGTCCTTTTGTATGTGTTGAACAATATTTCCCCCATCAAGTTATTTATAAAAAGCCAAACCTATTCATTTTATCTGCTATTTAAGCCAGGAGTTTCTGCCATTTTTCTACTATTTATAAACAGGTTAAAATTTTGACCAGTCATAACCTTTTATTTATTAGATTTTTCCACTTTATATGGAGGGAAACTGGAGAAAGTGCATCCTGTAACCCTTTCCTGCCAGAGCTGTATTTACACTTTTGCACACGTTATAATCCAGATTTTAGGATTAAGGCAGAGACCCTGTAGAATAAAATAGTGGCAGTTGCAATTTTTTGTGACATGATATTAGTGTAACTCTTTATCGAACCCAAAATTTCAGTAAAAAATACACTTACATGAATTTTAGTGCATGCTCTCCCGAAACCGTGAAAAAATATGGTACCCCAAATTGTCCATAGGCAACGCTTCAAAAGCCTGTACAGGTCATCAGTTTAGAGTTAACTGTGAATGTTGGCCCTAGATTATTGCTCTCACTCTAGCAAATGCGTTGATACCTCACTTTTGTGGTGCACACATGTCGTTTTAGTATGTAGGTGCACACAATGCTTATTGCGTTAGTAATTGTGAGTACACAGGGACTGGGGAATTTAAAACTTTTTAAAGGTGTTTTTAAATGTATTTAACTTTATTTTTTTTTATTTGATTTCATTGCTATCACATAGGGGGATCACAAGCCCCCTATGTGATAGCACTTTAGTAGTGATGGGTCCTCTTTCAGGTAACATTAGGGGTCTGTTAGACCCCTAATGTCACCTTTGCAGCCCATTGAAGTTGATCAAGCACAGATACTGCTTGATCAGTTTCTACCCCGGCTTCTCTGGGGGGGAGAAACGACAGCTCAGAAATCAAAAGTGATAAAATCATCGTCGCTTAGGGTTTTATTCAGGGGGAAGGAGAACAGCAAATTAATCTCTCTACCCGTCAACACCCGCGATGCTGGTCATAGGCCTGCAGGAGGGGCAGTGGAGCCCTGGAAGCAAGGTAGGGGGTGTGTTGTGACAGGGCAGGTGGCATATTTTTAACAGCCCTTGGAAGCGATCAGTAGGCTTTACAGCTGCCCAAAATTCTTCCAGTGTAAAGCAGACGGGCATCTGTTTAGGGGCCCGCTGGATACTTCAGTGGCAGCAAAAGGGTTAAAGCATATCCATATCCATACCCAATTTGTTTTCTGTTTTTCATAAAATGGGGGAGAGGTTAGAAACCCTGTTCGGTATTACTGCTGTTAGAGAGATTTATCCTTACTTTCTGTTCTGCAGAAGATGTTTTACAAGACAGGAAGTGAGGGAAAATCTGCAGCAGGAAAACAAACAATTAATAAAAAAAACTGACAGATGTTCTAGAATTCCCCTACTAAACTTAAAAAAAAACATTTGACTTAGGTTTGTGTTGCTGTTAAAGAAATTTTCCCTCACTTCCTGTCCTGGAGGCAACCTAGAGTAGACCTATATTAGACTAGACAGGAAGTGAAGGAAACTTTCCAACGGAGCCTCTGATGGCAGTCAAATCCAACAGGAGCTCCAATCTTTCCCCACTCTAAACAAAATTAAAAAAATGTTTTGGCTATAGGTACATTTTAAAGTGACAGATTTGTTGTTTTTCCTACTTGTAAGTAGACCATGTTTTAAATCATTGTTTTCCATTTCTCTAACCATACTGAGCCTTTATAAATTGATGCGCTCCAAACCTGCAAAATCTTGAAACTACATGCAAAACCTAAACAAACCCATGAGAATCAGTTTTACTGGCTTATGGCGGGTTACAGTGGGCTCGCAGTGATCTTATCACTTCCCAGCAAACCAGTAAATACACACATCAGAACTGTTTTGCTTGCCAGTGGATATATAATTGTGTTCAGTCAGTCTTGTTATCCACACAACATGGTTAGACAGCATAGCCAGGTCCTGGACCTCTCTGCAGTTAAAGTAAACTTGTTAGGGGATATGCAAGCTGGTATTGCAGGTTGCTTTTCGAGAATGCAAGTTGCCTGACTTTCATGCCAAATTTATACTGAAGTACTTTCTCAGTTAGGCTCCATTCCCACTGGAGCGGCCGTCCGCTCGTATTCGGCTGTACGAATATGCGTGGAGCCGCTCTAAACAAAAAAAACAATGCACTTTAATGTGCATTGTTCAGACTATTGCGGTACAAAACTGCACGGCCCCTAAAATAGTGCAAGCGCGATAATATGGCGGATTCCTCACGTTCGCAGCTAGATAATAGCCGCAAACAAGCGGAATCTGTGCGGATAAATTTTTTTTAGGATTTTCATCCCGTGCGGGAAATGCAAACGCTATATGTGAATGGAGCCTTACTGACTCAGAACAAGTATGCAGATCAGGAAAATTAAAGTCTACATACTTTTTTGTGTAAGGGACTCAAAGACAGGTAAAGACTCTTATGCTAGCTGTATTAAAAAAAAAAAAAACATTTGGTGTTTTGTTTTTTTGTTGTCAATCAACACATAACTGGATTGAAGGGTGTTTTGAGTTCAGCTTTGGGAATTACTAGTGTCCTGTTGCATTACTAGGGGATCCCTCCTTGCATCTTTGACCTCCTTGCAGCCAGATTGAGCAAATCTTAAACTTTGCTACTGAGTGGACTGTAGCCTCTTTCCACTATCTCCATCCCCGACCATTATATTGCCTCACAGTTAATAAAGACAGCAGTATGTAGAGCTGAGGTGCAAATAATTTCTTCTTGAATGAAAAGGGGATGGGCATATCATTGCCTACAACAGCATAATCTGGCAAATATGATCATTCCCATAACAAACACCCCAGAAAGGCCGGTTTTATGCATTTCCGTGATAAATTCCAGTTTTGGCAAAGTGTTGCTTTGAAGGGTCTTTCTAGCCCTCACTCCATAGAAGCCAATAACATTTTTAAGATTTCTACAATGCATGCAGAACCTGCCTCTGTGCTTACGCAGTTAAATCCATTATTGTTCACCTTCAAGATATGTTGCAACACCTTATCTTTCATATTGTCATATTTGTCTTTTGTTTCACAGGAGCATTCCATGCCTTTGACAAAGACGGAGATGGAATCATCAAGCTCAATGTGTTGGAGGTAATTATTAATGTAGTATTTAAGTAGTATTAAACCCTCATTTTTTTCTTTTTAGATCCACGAAATGCTTTATTATTGCATGTTTTCTAGCATCACTTTCCCCCCAAAAATAACAACAAAATCCTACTGCATGTTTCCCACTTGTGGTGCTGTCCTTAACTTTTGTTTGGGGAGTGCGCTTCCATGTCATTAGCCTTTCTGGTACAGTGTACAGCATAGGAGTATGCTAGAGCCACTCTCAATCATTGGGCTTACAGGTGGAGCAGGAGAGTGACTTGTGCTAATGGGCTTTGATTCTGCCTCATGCATCAGCTCATGGAGCAGTAAAGCGTCACATTCAGCTGGAGTGTCGATAAGGGACACTTCACCCTCAGTGTATGTTCACCCCCAGGTCATAGTGTCATGTGATACCGTGCGACCTGGCCAACTGCTTCCTTGCAACCAATGACACTGCGCCAGCATTCTAGCAACCTTTGGCACTGTGCATCCAGCCACCAGCATCCTAGAGACCAGCGGGGGAGAGATGTAATAAATGGTCATCTCGGGTGGCATCCGGCCCCAGCATGGCAGCGGAGATGTGGAAATGCAGAGCATGCTATTTTTTAGAAAGATCCTGTACTTTGCTTTTTTTTATTTGAATATCAGTTTGGGTGGTAGCATCTGAGTATAAGGAATTGATATCTGCCAGACAATGATTTAATAGAATTAAAGAGTTTCTTTTAGTCTTGGATAGACCAAGGAAGCATTTTTTACCTCTGTTCTTCTTTCATGCTGCCCTCATGGGACATTTTCCATCACTTCCTGTTCCAGAGACACAAAAGGAAGTGAAATTAAATCTTACCTTAACATGGGGCCACAGTAAGAGAGATTTCCTCTCTTATCCTGTCCAAGTGATAACTAACATTTTCGATTTCCCTTTCGATTTAACAAAGTGTGAAAAACCCTCTAGAAAAAGGTTGGCCTTGGGTAATAGTTCAAGGAATGAGAAACTTATTAAAGTGTAATTAATTGTCTTTTTTTTTATTATTCCAGTGGCTGCAGCTCACCATGTATGCCTAAAGTCATCATAAGCTACACTGACCTCAGCTCTTGTCCCTCATTCACTTTCATACAAGGACCGACTCAGGATCTCTGTTGGACAGAGCAAACCTTTACCTCATAAACCCTAATATATGTTTAATAACAGTTTACTAAAAGCCACAGAAGAGGAAAATCAGACTGACTTGCACAAGTAATCATGTAGCTTCTTCAGCATATTTTAATGGTTTCCTTCCGTATTTATATCACCGATATCAATCTTTTCTGTTAGCCGGTTATATTCTTAAAATTGGAAATACTTTACTTAGAGGTCTGCTTTGGTTTTATTACCGTTGGTTTTTACACACAGTAGCGATGGACCCTTCCAGATACATAGCTCGGAAGGAAAGAACAGTAGAAAAATGAAATCATGTGCGCAGAGAAAGTTGCAGAAGGGCTGATACAAGTCAGGAAAATGATTTAGACATAAAATAAATAAGAAATAAATGATACATAGTAGTTGCCACTTGGTGTTAGATACCAGCATCATTGTAAAGTCATCAAAGACTTGAGGGTCCAGTCCTTCTACCAATAGTTGATCATGTTACTTGGAGTTAGCTCAAGTTTCAAGACACCAAGCATAATTTAAAGTGGAGCTCTGCAGCTTTGTCACCTCATCTAGTCTGCTGCTCATTGGACTGTAATAAAGCATCATCAAATTAATGAGATTGTGTCTCAGACCAGTGGCATTAGCAGCAGGCTGCAGGTTGATATCTTGGTGGTAAGCAAGTTTAGGGCTCTGGAAGTACTTGTTCCATATCTAGGTTTCATTTTTTTTAAGGCTGTACTCAAGGCCAATGGCTAAATAAACAGATGTAATACATACATGGGAGCTGTTTTACCTACTATAGGAGACCTTAGAGCTCTGCCAAACAGCACAGCCCTGTTTGGTGGGGGAGGAGCTCTGAATTGGTTCTTCCGCAGTGAAGTAACAATTACAGGTCTTATCCCTTCCCCAGCCTGTGAGTGGAGTGTAAAAGGAGAAGCAGAAGGCATCTCTCTGCTCAGCATTGCTCTTTATACTGCAGCAGAACATATTGTCTTCTAGTCGTGGTCCTCCTCCTCCTCCTCCTCCTTCCTCTCAATGTCTGAATGCTGCTGTACAGGGACTGTAAGAGGCGGATACCATGTCAGATACAGGTATTCAGGTTACACATTTAATGTATTAATGATTACAGAACTGCATTCATTTGTATATTTTATATCTGCCTGGAGCTAAGGCTCAATGGACTGTTGATCCGGCTTTATCACCCGATTCTTTTTATGGGAGTTTAAAGATTACCTTTGATGATAAATGTAATGTTTCTAAAATGACTATAAAACTGGACTAAATGGTGTGTTTGCGTTTGCCTTGAGCTCCACTTTAATACAAACAGGCTACACACCTTTCAAACTGATTAAAAGGTAGAAGTTCAAATGAGTGCAACATACACATATCATCAATATGCCAATATTTTCTCCCTGCTCTGTATGTTAAATCTGTTTTATTAATGTGATATCTCATTTGATTCGTGTGTTGTTTGGGATTTACCAATTGAAGTGTGACATTTCATAACTGAATTCTCAATTTTGTATGTAAAAGCAACACTATAGAGTCCAGTACTAATAAACAGAAAGCAAGTCATCCTTGTACACTGTATTTTGTTTTGCCGTTATTTACCTGGGAACCTTTGCATAAGATCATGATGTCACTATTTGTCATAAATGTAACAATTGATGTTTTAAATGCTACACACTATTGTGCTTATGCAGTGTCTCAACCTTACTCTGTAAACCAACAAATAATGGAAATAATAATAAACCACCGTGGCCAGAATTAGGTTTACTGCAGACATATTAAGCAGACATTAGTGCAAGATCAGAGCTAATTTGTTCCTGCATCCAAAAAATGATGCAAGATGTCCCAGTGTCTGCAAAGGCTGACAGAAGACCCATGCGAGAGATCAGATGAGAAACCTCCAGTAGCCCATCACAACTATAACTTAAAAGCAACAATTATTTCCTTTGCAGTAGTGACAATACCGCTTCTAATGGACTTTGACCAACTAATACTTTGTAATATAGACAAAGCAAAATCACATTCAAGACAGGATCCCTAGTATGGTGGTCGCTTTGTTATCACAGGACACTGCCGGATCCACAGTGGGGGGCAGACCATTTCTTAAAGTTTTCTTAAAATGGGTACAAGGCTAAGTGCTTTGGGGAAGCAAACATCTTGTCAGGGAGTTTCCACTATATCTCTGTAGAGGAAGACTTAAAACAAAAAGCATAGATGGAAAGTCTTGGTTGATCTTAGAGGATCTAAACGACCCACAATTAGGGACAGCAGTGGAAGCAACAACCTAAGACTCAAGTTTCAAAGTGGTGTGTACCACATCTATAAGAGCAGTGGCGTAACTAGAAACCATGAGGGGTCCCCCCCGGCTGCCATCCATGACAGTAAGTGATGATTGGCATATTATTAAAGGTCACAATTAACAATTTAAACAAAATACTTTGTAAATAAATGCTTGTTTACTCGATAATACTGGTCTGTGCGCAAACGCAGATGCTGAGGTCGGCAAATTCAACTAGGTCAGCGTTTTCGAAAGAACACCGGTATCTGCATCTAGTATCGGGGCATTTTCACGAGCACAAGTGAAAATGCCCAATATTGGCACTGGTCAGCCCTACTTAATAATATAATGTATTGTCAGTGTATGAGCTAAAATGGTCTCTCTCAGTTTTGCAACAAATGCAGAAGACTGCAACTTTTTAGAGGCAAGCTAGCCTGGTAAGGACTGGAGTGGATCAGAATTAGACAGTCTCAGCAGCTGATGGCTCAGAGACCATAGGCAGATCAGGTACAAAATTTGCAGTGGAAGGCATAGATGTGCGCCTGTGGCCTCTGCAGTCAGTCAGCAAATAACTGAGTGATTTTGGCCATTTATTATACAGGATTTATATAGTGCCAACAGTTTGCGCAGCACTTTACAATATAAGGAAAACATTACAATACAAGACGGTAAGGAGGGCCCACAATCAAAAAGGCAACCATCGACGATGTCAAAAGCCTGATAAAGGGACCCTGCGACATCCTGAAAGCGCTTGTTTCCATTTGACAAATTGTTCAATAAAATGAACATTTGGCGATTCTTGAAGGATCTTCGGTGTGCTTATGACATAGTTAGTCAGGTTGAAAAAAGACACAAGTCCATCAAGTTCAACCCATAGAGATACGGAGAGAGGGGGGAAAAAAAAAAAGAAAAAGCCTAAACAGAACACTATGCCCACAATTACCCGCTGTTGATCCAGAGGAAGGCAAAAACACTCCCCCTATAAAGCACGGTTCAATTTGCTCAAACAGGGGGGAAAAAAAAGTCCTTCCTGACCCCATAAGGCCTAATATACCTATAATAACTAAATATCCAGTAATATTCTGTGCATTTAGGAATACATCCAGATGTTGTTAAAACAATTAACCGAGCTAGCTAGAACTAGCTCCTGGGGGAGTCTATTCCACATTTTTACAGCTCCAACTGTGAAGAATCCTTTCCATATGCAAAGGTTAAACCTCTTTTCCTCCATACGCAAAGAGTGCCCCCTTGTCCTTTGCAGTGACCTTAAAGTAAATAATTTGGCACCAAGCTCACTATATGGACCATTTATGTATTTATACATGGTGATCATGTCCCCCCTTAATCGCCTCTTCTCCAGAGAGAACACATTCAGTGCAGCTAATCTTTCCTCATAGCTGAGCTCCTCCATTCCTCTTATGAGTTTGGTCGCCCTTCGCTGCACTTTCTCCAGTTCCACAACATCCTTTCTTTATAATCATCCTATGCAAACAGCGGTGCCCATCTGCATTCATTTCAAGTACCCTCCCCATCGTTTGGGATTTCCGGTAAGGAGTGCAACCTTTACATTATCCAGACTGATATGTCAGTTAGCTGTGGCCATAAAGCCACACAACTGTATTAACCGTGATTAATGCCAGAAGTCCAGTGAATGATCAATTTAGAATTTTTAAAATGCATGTAGTTCTACTCTATAGATTAACCAGACATAAGGGAGGCAGACTAGAGGTTGTAAGGTCACCTACATATTACCTTTGAGCTGGATGTAAGTCCTGGGTTACGGGACTTACATCCAGCATATTGGGTTATGCAACCAAACAGCAGCTTTGCATTAAAAAAAAAGACAGTTTAATTGCCCTGTCAGTGAGCAGAGCCTCTTACTCCTTCCCCCTAACCCAAATCAATTATACTCACTTTCTCCACTGTGTTCCCCTGAGACTCAAAGCCTGTGTAAGCTCTAAGTCTGAACAAAGGGCTGATAATGTTAGCCCCTCCATCACACAACAGTGTTGGGGCCTGGCATTTAGTTGCTTAGGCCTAAGCACCGCATACTAGGAGGTGGTCAAATGGCATACCTGGACGCACTGAATCATTTTTCTATGGGTCCATTGAGAGGCAGCAGTACACAAGTTAGGGAATAAGTGAGTAAGAGAAACTTTCAAATTGCCCTGAATGCCCCTATCTCTTGAAGAGTACCTATATAGGAAGAATCTTCATTCAAATAACTTTAGCCTGTGCAGACATCTACCCAGGGGATGCTGCAGTGGCTCCAGGACATGTTAGCTGGATTTAGAACATAGCCCCTAGCCTGCTTCTTTCAAACGGGTATGCATGTTGCTAGTCACAGAAGTAAAGTTGTAGGTAGTATTCAGTTTTGCATATCTCCAAATGACTGCTTCAGATGCTGCCGAATCTAATTTAGTGCTACAGCCAACATTACCAATAAAGTAAACTTATATTTGCTCACTTTTGGTCTGCTAAATATACCACTTAAAGTATTTTATCTGTGCAATAAGAGCGAAGAAAAAAAAAACACCTAATGATGTCAGAAATTCAGAACTATGTTATGTTTTGTCCACATTTGCCGTTTTATCTCAGAGCCTGACTAGTTCATATCTTGAGACTACAGATCAGTTAGAGCTTGTGCAGATGAGAAGGGGAGTGATTCAGTAGTTTAGTCAAAGAAAACTGGGCAGGGCAGACACCACTTATTCCACTAAATTTCTGTGTGTTGTCAGCCCATAACAGGATTTAGGAGCGGATTGCATTTGACAGATTGACAGGTGTTTCTGTACTTGGGGTGTCTTTATATGGATAAAATATGGGGAAATTTAAAAGCATTACAGAGATGCATTGCATTTTTTTGTTTCTTGCTTATATACACTTTAATCTATGTATATATTGCTAATGTTGTATATTGCACTCCTAAAATGGAGGGGTGGTTGAAAGACTATTAGAAAGCAAGCCAGAAGCGAGATGAACTGACACAAGACTCACTCTCATTCTTCCATGTGACAACACTGGTGCCTCAAAAATTGGCCCAGCACTATCACATGGGAAGAGCAAAGGGGTCCATAGCACTGTCTAAGCTCTGACAAGTAAGCTTGGAGCTTACACAGGGCATTCTTTCCCCAGTACCATCAGCTAAAAAAAACTATGAAAGAGGAAAGGTTATACTGCTCAGCACGTCGCAAGGTTAAGTGACCTGAATGGGCAAAGGAAAAAGGTCACTTTCAGGCCTGGTTCACACCTAGGCAGTTTTGAGCAGTTGGAAAAGTCCTTTTAAATGCCATACACAAGAGATCCCATGATTTTCAATGGCCCCTGTTCACACCTGAGCAGCAAAACACCAGAAGGAAAATGTCTTTGGAAAACTGCATCTTTGGGCAGTTAACAGCGCATTTTTGCCCCATAGACTTCAATGCAAACCCCCAAAAATGCACAGCAAAAGCATGTTGCACATTGTCGTGCATGTTTGTCCATTGTCCACAATGTTTCTTAAGCTGCCAGTGAAACGCACGTCTTCATGTACGCACATACAAAACACTCATAAAAATGTGCACAACACGCAAAGACATAAGCATGCAAATAACTGTGCGCTGAACACGCGCGTACAAATACAATGCTACCTAGATGTGAACCTGGCCTAGTAGTTTGCTGGGACTGTATGTAGGCAATTGTTTTAAATTGCCATAGACTAACACAACTGTACTCCTACGGGAATGCTCCCAAACCATGATTGAAGGATTCAGAAACAATGGAATAAATAAATAACAAAAATCAAGCAAATGAAGTGAAAGATTTAGCTGTTTTATTAGCTCACATTAGCCTTGAATACCAAATCGTGATTAGAGATTTGTGGAAGGAAGGAGAAATAGAGAAAAAAAAAAAAAGAAGTCTATGGAAACAGAGGTGTAAAATCATGGAACACAAAGACATAAAAGCCTATCAAGACAATTCTACAACTTGGCACTATTAGTGAGGGCTCAACTGCTGTGCACATTTCAATCATTCGCAAGACAAGATATGAGCACTTGCAGGATTCTACATGCACAACAGTTTTTGGTAGAAGAAAAATGAGATGAATAACATTTTAACATGATAGTCCACTATTCACATTATTCATTTGCAAATGTACTACTGTTTATATTGTTAGTCATTTGTTCCCTGGGGTTCCAGAGCCTCTACAGTAGACATAAGCAGAGGTTAGCACATTTTCCATTACAAATTGTAATAATAAATATTTGGAGAAAATAGGAGGATGTGTCCTGCTCTGCATAGCGACTGGCTAAGTACGACTAACTTGTTTTTTTTTTTAAAGGAAAACTGTTAAATGTTATTGGCCAAAAGCACACTCTGCCAGGAGAACCCTTGCCACTAGTATGCCAATGTAAATGCAGTTCTGGAGAAGTATTCAGTTAAGATATGAATGACACCATCCTGGAATCAGTAGACCGCTAAACTCAAAGCATTGGCATACCAATCATTAAGGTTCTACTGTGCAGAAGGGTGCATGCAGTGCCAAGAGACCACTCCAAAGTACACAGCACACAGGAAAATGTGTAATCTTACAATATGTTTGTTAATTATGCAGCAAAGAGCATTTGTGTTTAGTAACTTGTAATAACCAATGACACATAAGCTTTCATCACCAAAAGATAATTTCCAAATGGTTGCCACAGGTTACATCCATCAATGCTCTTTACTCCTGTACAGGACAGCTATAAGTTCTGCGTCAATTGTCCTATTCAGTAACACACAATGGCACATACCAAAAAATTGTTTTCCCAGTGCCTGACAACACGTGATTTCTTTGGATGCGTACATCGATCATGAGCAATATTACACTAGAATAACACTGCTAAATTCAGCTTTGTGAAAAGTCACAACACTGCTATTGTCAGGTACTGTAAAAGGCATTATTTGCAATTTGTTGCTGTCCTGAGGTTTCAAAACTCACAAAATAAAAGAAAAAAAAGACAACCATGTATTATGCCTACACAAACAACCCCATAAAACCAATGTAATCTTTTATTGTTTGTGGTACATAACTCATATGTTAACTGGAAGGTGATTTTTGTGGTTTTTGGTTTTGTTATTTTTTGTTTTTCCATTATACATTTGTCGCCTGTTCACAACACACATTCAATCACTTGTACACTGTAACTTCACACCTACCTACCATCACAGAAGAATTAAAACTGAATTTCTGTTTTGACTATTTTATTATATGTGAAATAATTAGGATGACACTTTCATACTTGTCAGTGGCACTATAAAATACCTTAAAAGATCTGCATAGTAAGTGAATGGGAGATTAACTTCAAAACACACAAAAACAATAAAATAACGCGAGTGCCACTTAAAATATGATCGGGGCCCATGCTCACAACTGAAGCACAATTTGGCCCATTTTGAAAGCTGACCCTCATTTTACAGTTCTATACAAAACTGCCGTGTCTGGGGGTACTGGACTATAACTTTATTGCCTAACAGATGCAATAACACAACACTAATACAACTGCAACAACAACACATAAAAGCATATTAGAGATGAGGACATTCAAGTTATCCCCACATACTGTAAAGTCGGTATTGTTATGCCTGGCTTGCTGTGAAGAACTTATGCCACAGCATATCCAGGACATTACCACAAGGATGCTTTTAAGGGTTTATATCATAGCAAAGTGTAAAGAGCAATAAAGTGCTGCAGCCTATTATAACCAAATCATATCTAGGGGATGAAAGCAGAATTCTGATAGGTTACTGTGTTTTACATCCATAAAAACTGGTCACTGGGAGCACAGGAACACCAACCCCATGGGTTACAGGTCCTTTTAGTTAGGACTGTAAGTACAGTGAAGACAAATAAAGTTGGTGAACCATTTCCTTTCCTATAGCTCCTTGTTGCTGCATAAACTAATGTTCCTAAAGAAAGCACAGTTGCTGAATGGAAGTAGCCAGACCTCCATTGTTCAGTATACAACGTTGCTTTCTACATTATACCATGAAATAAAGCTCTCAAGGGGAAACCACAGTTTTTTCTCAGATGTAAATAATCCTATCAATGGATATTAATGTGTTAAAAATCTTGTATGTTTCATAATGATAGAAGTCCAAGTGCAGTCACAACTGTTGGTTCTACGTATAACAAAGCAAAAAGCTGACATTTTCATCAATAAGGGGCAACGTTAGGAAAACACAGTTGCTCATTTATTAGTGTAACTGTGTGTATAAAGAAACAACGCAGCTTTCTTTTTTTTTGACAGCGAGAAAAAAATGAAGGTGTTGACTTTGATTTCATTCTTTATTTAAAGAGAACCCCCTTGATACACATCTGTTAATGTTCCATCCTGATAAAGAGGAGTAATCAAAATCTTATTCCTTCTTAGATTTCTCCTCTTATCAGAGCATTTAATAAAGGTTATAAAGATTAATTTAATGAGGATTTAAGTAATATTAGAGCAATGAAAAAAGAACTAGTGCCAAAAGGGAGAAAACCATTTAAAAACTTATTCATCAGTTTCTAGAATCTCTGCTTTGATGAGAAGTCAAAATAAAATGTAAAAAGGCTCTCTATTCTTTCTATAAAAATGTAAAAGTGTTCTTTTAAGATTTGTACTGGGATTTGAACAAAGGTCAATAACACAATACATTCCTTCATGCTGTGCCCATGAAGGAAAGACAGAGAAACGTAAAAAAATATTCGTTTTTTTGGTAACGGAACACTGAAAAATACACCATTTAAAATGAAATACAAGGATGTTGGACATTGGAGTGACAAAGACGATGGATGTAGGAGCCATTTGAGCTGTTGCTTTGTGCGGTCAGTAAAAAAAAGAGAGCAAGATGGCAACTCTGCATTTCATTACCCGGTAGTGCACAAGGAATCTGCTGTGTCTAAGACACTGAGGTGCTGATAATCTCTCTGTGTTGCTTAAAAAGTAACTTCCCAATATGGGAGGTAATGTGCTTCTTTATGTGTTCAGTTCACTGTCTCCTGCATGCCGTTCAATGTGTTCTATTGCCTCCTATGAAAAAAGACAAAAGGCATTTTAATACCGTATATGGATCAGTTCAAAATAATAGCAAATTAAAAAAAAACAGACCCAAATGTCAGAGAACCATTGGGACTAAGTTTATCCACAAATCTGGATTTTCTCTCTTAAAGCTGCATTCTATGCAGCTTAAAAAAAACACGGTTTGTGCAGTTAGGTGTTTTAGTAAAACCAACAAAAAAAAACTTTAACCACTTGCTGCCTGGGGTGTTAAACCCCCTTCCTGTCCAGGCCATTTCTCAGTATTCAGTGCTGTGGCACTTTGACATTTATTCCGTCATGCAACGCTGTACTGAAATTAATTTTATACAATTTTTTGGGGACAGATAGCGCTTTCTTTTGGTGGTATTTAATCACTGGTGCGGTTTTTATCTTCTACTATATAACGAAAAAAACGACCGTACATTTTGAAAAAAAACCTGTTTTTGCCTACGTTATGTTATAAAACATTTATTATTACCCAATTTTTTGCTAAAATATAAAAGACGGGGTTGATTCAGGTAAATAGACACCAAACATGTCAAGCTTTAAAATTGCGTGCACGCCCACAAAAATTGCAAAAAACTACCATGCCTAAAATTGGCCATAGGTGACGCTGGTAAAAGCTTTTACCACTCATCAGTTTAGTGTCATCAGTGATTGATGGGCTTAAAATTATTGCTCTCACTGCGACATGTAACTCACGTCATTTCAGCTATTCACTGGTTAATAACCCCTTTAGTGTCCGGTCAACTGACTAATCCCACACAGTCTTCCAACCGTCAAAGAATCCATAATGGTATCACATCAGAGTGCCCATTAGCCCTCGTTCACACCTGAACGTTTTGTAGCGTGTTCTACGCTGGACGAACGCTCTACAAAACGCTCAAACATCTACCGTATTTTGCGGTCCATAAGACGCACCGGACCATAGGACGCAGGGAGGTCCGGCGCGCCTTATGGAGCACTCGACAGACTGTAGCTTCTGTCACAGCTTCTATGACAGAAGCTGTGACAGAAGCTGCAGTTAGTGACCGCTGAGACAGGTGGCGCTGTGATTACAGCACCACGGTCTCAGTGATCACACAGAGCAGGCGAAGAACGTCTATTCTTCGTCTGCTCTATGGTTATCTCGATCGTCGCTTAAACGAGCCGTGGCTCCTACTACTCGCCTGGCGCCCGAAACTGCATGTCTCGGGCGTCGGGATTTTTGTTTGCTAGGTTTTTATTGGGAATAAAGAGAAACAAATTAGAAAAAAGCATTTTCCTGTAATTATTCCAAACACATTGAGGGGAATTTATCAAAACTGGAGCAGACAAAATCTGGAGCAGCTGTGCATTGCAACCAATCAGCTTTTCCATTCAGTTTGTTCAGGTAAGCTTTGAAAATGGAAGAGATAAGCTGATTGGTTGCCGTGCACAGCTGCTCCAGATTTTGTCTGCTCCAGTTTTGATAAATTCCCCTCATTGTTTATTAATTTTGTGCACCCCATATATTTAGCCCAAAATATCAGCAACAAAAGCCGATTAAAATGATATCACATTATTGCAACTTTTATGTGATATTTCAGACTGGAATAGCTCAAAGTGAATGTATGTGTTTTACTTTAGGAAAGCTTTATTCCCCTTTTAATGCTACATTGTGACACACTGTTGAGAAAAGCAGAATTAGACCAACTGCAACTTTTTCACAGGTTTAGCAAAAACTGGCAGATTCAACAGTTGTTTAGCAAACATTTACTTACAGCAATACAAAAAAACCCAGATACATTTACAATGCACAAACTTGCACAAATCTAGTATTTGGGGTTTACATACACTTTAACTGTCAGGACCAGATAAAGTTAGTAAAACTTAATAAGGGGCAAATTTAAATATCAAAATGTAACCCTCACACTAAAACCTACAAAGATTAAATAATAATAAAATTGTTGCACAAACAGAAATTGTGAATGGTTCTCTTTCAGACCCAGTGCAGGAGGCTATGTTGCTGTTGGAGACATCATCTAATCAGGAACCAAGATCTGTATCTTGAGCCTTGTGCACTAGCTAAAGGGTGAGCTTCCTTCACTACACAATGGTGACAGCACAACTCTCCCATGGCACTTCTGGTTCTGGCCTACTTAGCAGGAACGAGGAGCAGAGACAACATAGCAACTATTATCAAAAAATATATGTCATTACAATTATGGGAGTGCACACAAAATAAGGGTCTGCACTCTATGCAAAATGACACACAAACAAGGTTATGCTGCCACCTAAAATAATAAATAGTATTCAGCAGAGTTTCTTACTACATGATATTCACAGGACTAAAATATATATATATATATAAGCAAACACTGAATGGCAGAAATAGGGGCCACTTGGATATTATCAGAAATACTTTACTGCAAACAAGTGTCACTACTAGAACAGAAACAATGTCTGATCAGTTTGCAGAAGAGAACAGATCATCCATATGGCAGTATACAGCTAGTTGCAAACCAAAATGCAGCAAAAATTATTTATTTCAAGCAAACACACAATGATTAGTAATTAGACGATCCAAAAGCCTTTGTGTAAAATACCTGCTTTGATCCTCGCCGAGCTGTAAAGAAACCATCGCAATTCTTCCATCTGCATTTGAAGGTTTGGAAGTTGGGGTTTGTGTGATCATTCAGTAGGTGTTGCTTCAGATGGTCGGCAACACCAAAGATAAGCGAGCATCCATGCCACTGTACAGAAGTACATAAGACAAGTTCAGTGTTAGCATTTTTTTATACAGCTAAATTTACTGCTTGCAATCATTTGTCAGAAGTGCCACATCACAACTTATTCTGGTTCTGGAACCCTGGTAGGTTTACTTCTGCAGGGTAGAGAGGAATATATGAGGTGTAGCAAAGTGACTCAGGTTAAGTTGCTGTCAAGTACAAAGAGGCATCTAAAAAGGTGCTTATGAAAAAATCTAAAATAATTAGAAAAGAGTGCCACACCATTGGTTAAGAGCCACAATAATTTTATTTTATCCTAGTATATCTTACAGAATCAATCCAATGCTTTTCAGGCGTTCTATGGTAACTCCTATATCAGGGCTCACTATAACAACCAAAATGAAGCTGGAATGATGACTGACATTAAAAAGGTTAAAAAAAGGGCTGGTAATGATTAAAATTTTCGTGTTCAATTAATCAACATTTTTTTTAATCGATTAATTTCGATTAATTATAACGCACATACAGATCCAACTACATTGGCCTATACACATACAGCACGGAAATGAAGTAATAAAATGAACCAGGATCACACTAATCCAGCACGTTATTAATCTCAGGCTCAGGGACAGCTCAGGCTGGGAGTTGTAGTCCCTCTACACACAGGGACAGCTCAGGCTGGGAGTTGTAGCCCCTCTACACACGGGGACAGCTCAGGCTGGGAGTTGTAGTCCCTCTACACACAGGGACAGCTCAGGCTGGGAGTTGTAGCCCCTCTACACACAGGGACAGCTCAGGCTGGGAGTTGTAGCCCCTCTACACACAGGGACAGCTCAGGCTGGGAGTTATAGTCCCTCTACACACAGGAATAGGGCAGGTTGGGAGTTGTAGTTCCTCTGCACACAAGTACAGCTCGGGCTGGTAGTTGTAATCTCTGTACATGCAGTGACAGGACAGGCAAGTTTTAGTCCCTCTACAGACTGGGTGTTGTAGTACAGACGCAGAGAATACTGGAAGTTGAGGTTTTCAAGTCAACAATTCCCTCACTGTCACACACCTATAACAGGCATCCCCCTCTCCTCTCCTCACCTCCTCTGACAGTCACATTGTCTCCTCCCTCCCAGTAAGGCCGCTCACAGCTCCGGGCTGAGCTGTTTCCTCCACCATCCCGTCTCCTCCCAACTCCTCATACCATTGAGACTGACAACAAGACAACAAGTGGGCGGTACAGCCCGTCATAGAGAGGGCTGCTCTACACACTAACATTGCCTAGAACAGCTCACGGAAACAAGCAAGCCGACGAGCCACTTGGGGAAGGGGGGAGGAGTCCGGTGACGTCGATGTCCGTGATGTCACCGGATCTCCGACGGAAGACCCGGAAGCCGGCGGAGAGGTGAGTACCGATCAAAATAATTTTGATCAATCAAAAAAATTTACGATTAATTGAAGGATTAATCGTTAATTTCCGCAGCCCTAGTTAAAAAGTTTAAAGAAGAACTTGAATCAGCTGTCATAGTTTATGTTCTATTTATATTCCTGCTCTATTTTCAATATTTAAACCTTTTATAGTCCATCCTCACTCCAGTCTAATTTCCCTCATTATACCGAGTCCTGATATAGGGGGTCCCTTGGGATATTCAAAACACATTTGCTTGCTTCTTCTATTTTGATGAAATTAAACATATTAAACTCAACCATTGATATGGAGCTTCTCCTCTAAGGCCTTGTTCACACCAAGCGCGTTCCAGGAGCAGAGCAGTTACAGACCGGAGCAAAACTGCGTCCAATCTATTCCAATGGTATTTTTAGCTCCAGTTCACATCGCAGCGTTCTGTTTCAGAGCAGGCCCAAAAAACTGCAGCAGGCCCTATTTTACCTGCTCTGGAATGCATGCAAACGCCCTGGAACGCACTGAAAGCCCATTTTAAACTAGATTTTTTTTTTTTTACCAAAAACGACCCGGAACGCATCAAAAACGTGGCATGTAGTGTGCTATAGGAGATAGAGAGGGTTCTAGTATAGTTAGTTACAGTCAGCAGATAGATAGAGAGTTATAGATAGTTATAGAGAGTTATAATAGACTTATAACTTATATATACACATACATACACAGAAGTCTGATTATATCTATCTATAATCGTATGTATGTATGTATGTATGTATGTATAATCGTGAACGACTGAGTGCTGGTGAGCTATCTTCTATTTTCCACAGTGACGGACCATCCCCATCTGTCACACAAAAAAATAAATACTTATTGCTGAAAACTCCCCTTGGCATATCACTGAGGCTCTGCCTAGCATATCTCATCTTAATTTAGATTAAATGCTTTTTTACTAAGAAGTGTTTGAAAGTGAATGAAACTTTTTTTTTTTGGAAGTTCGCCGACCTCCTCCCCAGCTCCCCGCAGACACCAAGATCGCCGGGCCCGTAGGAGGAGCACGGCGGGGGTGTCCGGCGGGGGGGTGGCGGCCCCTTCTTCGGGACGCAGAAGCGATCTGGCGACAGGTAAGTCGCCAGGATCGCTTCTGTTGTAAAGCCGACAGTCGGCTCTACAAGTTTAAACAGAGTCCCGGCGGCAAAAGTCACCGGGAGTCTGTTTAAACAGCCCCGATGCTGGCGACGTACACTGTACGTCGTCAGTCACGAAGGGGTTAAACAAAATTTACTACACCAAAAGAGGCTTCTCCGCATGTGCGGAGCATGGGAAGTATACCTGCAGGAGTGAGACAAGAACAATACTAACCAGCGGGAGACATGGTAGAGTCAGTTTTACCCATTCAGAACAGCTCATTCAGCTGTAGCAGATGTGAAATGGGTTTCTGCAGCAATGTGCAGGCAGTATCTGTAGAAGTACTTTAAACATGATTTTAACACAAAGCAAGGAGATGGTTACCCCAAGCAGATGATTTTGGCAAAGCTCTGTGATAATTTTGTTAGTGCATGGGGTATAAATGATCACACATAAAAGCAACGGTGAATGATACTGCAAAACAAGGAATTTGGTAGGCGTAAACTTTATTCTAAAAAAGTTTTCAGATTAGTTGGGGTTTGTTTAAAATTGAACATGTACTGAATAACGGATGAATATATCAGGTGCAGAAAAGGAGAATGCTGCTTAACACAATATTCTTACCCAGCAACGATAATTTTTCATAAGGTTCAGACGCACAGCTTGGACACTACCATCATAACAGCCGGTGTAGATCTACAAGAATAGTCGGAAATATGGTTGACAGAGCTAGCAAATGTAACATATCCTTCAAGAATTGAATGCAATACATTTTTATGGCATGTTTAATAGAAGTATGGTTTATAGTATATGGCAGTATTAAGTGTAGAGGTGCACGAAATGGAAATTTGAAAACCGAAAAAAAAGGGAAAAAAAATTTCGGGCCGAAGCCGAAAAGTTTTTCTAACTTTTTAAAAAATATTTTACTTTACTTTTAGGTGCTTCAGGGAAATATTAGGGGTCTAAACAGACCCCTGATATTTCCCTTTTTAAATAGAAAAAGAAATTGAGGACACAGAGTCCTCAATCTCTTTTTCTGCAGCCCCTGTTATAAATGAACAGGAATCCTCTATGGGTGTGGCTGTTCATTCATAACATGTGGGTATAATCTGTTTACTATAAACCACAATCATGAATGAACAGGAGGTGATGTAGATCACTTCCCGTTCATTCATATTTGAGGCTATATTGTAAACATACAATGTCCTCAATTATGTACACACACTCAGCGATCACTGAGTGTTTGTACCACGCTCTCCATCCTGACAGCTGTCACAGGAGGCTGAGCGAGCTGTGCGGGAGGAGAGCGCGGGCTGTCTCCGCCCACACACTGCTCTGCCAATCTGTGACAGGAGGCTGAGCGGTGTGGGAGGAGAGACGCCAGCCGCTCACAGTGCTGTCCTCTTGCAGCACTTGGCCGCCTGTGATAGTTTCTCTTCTCCCCGCTGGAACATAGACCAGTGCCCAGCTGGGAGGAAAGAAAACATGGATGCACTGCTATATCGGCAGAAAAATTGCACTTTCGGCATTTATCCAAATGTGCAATTTGTGGTCGATATGTTTCGGTGGCCGATATATCTGTGCATCCCTAATTAAGTGTGCTAATCCCTGTGCCTGAACACTACAAAGCTCATCAAAAAAACATTTTACGGTCTGTATTTTTACACATGGAATCTGACATTTGCAGAAATTTCAAAACCTAAGAATTATTGTCATTAGGTTTTGTTTTCTTAGAAAAACATAAAAATTTGCATTTTTTTTATACCCTGAAGACAAATGTTATATAATATAGATTTCAACTATTTTAATCATAAGAAATTATTAAAATCAGAAGCTGAACTACTTACAACTTACCATGCTTTTGTAAATTGACATGCACATGATCATGTCGGAGTATCCTCCGTAAACTTGTAACCGGTCATGTGACTACCAAAAGGACAAAAAAAGGATTTCTGTTAAATGTAGGACTTTGTACTTAACACACTTGTTGGCATCACCATCATGTCTTTTATCCAGGGTTTACTAAGGTCCAAAACATTTTAAACTGCCTTAACTATACTGTACAACCCAAATTAAGCTGTGTAAAACCTACATAAATAAAGAATGCAATGATTTGCAACCCATATTTATTCAATAGAAAACATATCAAATGTTTAAAACTGAGAAAATGTACAATTTTAAGAAAAAAAATAAAAGTAATTTTTAAATTGATGGCAGCAACACGTCAAAGTTGGACAGGTCCATGTTTACCACATTGTAGCATCCTCTCATGAGATTTTCAAATCATTGCGTTCTGTTTTTTTGTAGATTTTACACAGCGTCACAACTTTTGGGAATTGGGGGTTGTACAAAAAATGGACACTGCTCCCCTATGTCTGAAAGGCCTAGAAATAGTGAACAGCCAAGTAACTAAGTCACAAAACATCTTGTATTATTTTCAAAGAATAAAAGGCATTCTGTGATTGGACAAGGGGCGCATAAATGTCACAATTTACCCCTTGTCCAATCATGCAAACACTTGTAACTCTCAGCTGCCTCCCAAGCACACATACACACCGAGTAGCCAGATTATTATGACAACCCCATCAGTACTTCGTTGGGCCACCTTTTGCCTTCAATACTGCGGCGATTCTTCTTGGCATTGACTCCACGAGATGTTGAAAGGTGGTGCGAGGAATCTGACACCATGCCTGATGAATAGCACTGTCCAGTTCTGTGAGATTTGATGGTTGTGGAACCAGCTGCCTGATGGCTTTCAACTTCGTCCCACAAATACTAAATTGGATTGAGATCTGGTGATTGTGGGGGCCACCTAGGCAAGGTAAAGCCTTCCTCATGTTCTTGAAACCACGCCTGCACAATACGAGCACCCTGGCATGGCGCATTGTCTTGTTGGAAGAAGCCATCTCCATTGGGATACGCCATCAACATGATAGGATGAACTTGATCAGCAACGATACTTTGGTATGCTGTGCTATTCAGACGTTGTTAAACATGAATTTAAAGGGCCCAAATCATGCCAGGAAAACATGCCCCAAACCATAACACTGCCCCCACCAGCTTGAAGGGTTGTACTCATGCATGTGGGGTGCATGCTTTCATGCTGTTCCCGCCAAATTCTCACTCTGCCATCTGCATGATGCAACTGGAAACGTGATTCATCGGACCACATGACTTTTTCCCAATGCTCGACTGTCCAATCCTTGTGTTCCTGTGCGAATTGGAGACGTTTTGTCTTGTTAACTGCAGACAGCAAAGGTGTTATACAGGCCTTCGGCTTTCATATCCCATACGATGCAGTGTACGGCGAACAGTGCGTTCAGAGATCATTTGAGAGGATCCCTGATTAAGATCTGCAGTAATGTGATGCACTGTTGCCCTTCTGTTGTCTTGTACCAGCCTTGCCACTCTCCGTTCTGCCCTAACATTGACTAGTCGCTGACAGCCACAATTCGCACGTTCAGACCCAGATTTTCGGCTGACAGTCCAGTCTTTAAACACTTTAACAGCAGCAGCTCTTGAACATTTAACGAATTCTGCTGTTTTGCTGATACTTGCTCCATGGCCCCGAGCGCCAACAATCATCCCACGTTGAAAGGCTGTTAAATCGCGTTGTTTACCCATATCTTCAGAAAAAAATAACTTCTACTGTCGTGGTAAACAACCTGCTTCCCTATTTATATTGGTCTGGCCCTCTAGCAAGTTCAGCGCAAAATTATAGCTAATTTGCCTACAAACGTCAGGTGGTCATAATAATCTGGACGGACACACACACACTTTTCATGCTGTATGGCACCCTGTGCCAGTGTAAATGAGACCTAATAGTCATGGTTGTTATTTGTGAGCCAAAACAAACAATATCTTACCTGCAGTTCATAGACACGAACAAATTTGTCCAAACAAGCTGTCACCATAACTTGCCCCAGGATATTAACTACTGTAACAGCATGATTGTGACCTTTGTAGATGCGTACCAGCTCCCCTGTCTACAAGAAAAACAAAAGGATGATGAAGATAAACAGAACTTCACATGATAGATTATTTTTAAAAAGCCTAACATTTTTATGTGCAGAGGAACCCTTCAGATTGTTTTGACTCCACAGCAATGCTTAACTGAGTAAACAAAGCATGTGGAAAAGTGAGTCCACAAGTGCAATGAAGGAAACGGGGGATTTATTCATGAAGACTCGTTAGGCATTGAGAACACCTTGATGACATAAATAACTTTGCATACTTACATGGATGTTGTGTGCATGGACAGATTGGTCGCTTGATCCACTGAACACCAGATCGTTGACAACCTGTAAGATACAAGATGAAGCTTATGTACTCACAGCCATGCAATACAGGTTGAAATCAAAACAGTTGCTGTACTGTGCAGAAAAAAAAATACGAAGACGTCAGGGACCTTACTGCAGGGCCAAACAAACCATGCTGCAGAAAACATGTATGTGCGCCCTAAGCCCTCTTTGAATGCCTGTGATTGAGCTGCCATTAGTCAGTGTAAATTACAGGCAAAATGTACAGAGTTAGAGCGGCTCTGTGGCTTGTGATTGCTGTGATGACCAAGCATGCGTGATCACAAAATGTAAAACACTGCTTGTGTTTACATTTGAGAGCCCTTCCCTTTCTCTCGCAACAGAGGGGGAAAAGGAGGACTTAAGAAAAGTATTGTTGGAAGGGGTGTAGGAAGCAGCAGATTCAAGGTGGGGGAGGTCGGGTTATTTATTTGATTGTGGGATTTTATTTTTTTAACCCTTTCACCCCCTTCTGAGCTGTACATCTCATCTCCATTCTGTTTCTAGTGTACTGTATAGAACACCTTTACCTTTCACATTAAGCCCCTCATCTTTATCGTCCCTCTGTATGTGACTTGTGCATTAAACCCTTCACCTCCTCCCTCTGTGTATGATCTGTATATTAATGATGCGCTGTATCAAGTGCACCATTGCCAAGCTTCAAATTTTAACCACCTCAATACCAGCATGTTTCTTTATTACTAAAAAATTGTGGCAAAGACTTTCATCACCTTGCGATATCTACTTTCCAAATGGGGTCATTTGGGGGTTGTTTGTACTGTTCTGGCATTTTTGTTTGATACGTTTTATAAAAGAGAGAATAAGGGAAAGGTTTTTTTCAACAATGTTTGGTCTTTCTTTTATATAGTAAAAACAACAGTGTTAATTAAATACCACTAAAAGAAAAAACTCAAAAATAAATAATGTATTTGGGTCTAGTTTTGCATGATCCAGTAATTGTCAGTCAAGTTATCACAGCACCAAAAACTCGCCTGGTAATGGAAGGGTATATACAGGTTGGTACTTCAGTGGTTAATGCAATTAAGTTGGCTGTTTTCCAAATCCATCAAATAATACTTTAATGCTTTTCTGTGATTTGTACAAAACATTTAATCGTTTGTTTTTTTCACCTTCATACAGAGGACAGTTTTTGAATGTCCCTCTAGAGTGCGCAGCAAAAGGCCATTACGGGCATCTCGAACACTGATGGTGCAATCGTAAGACCCAACTAGGAGAAGTTTTCGAGCGCCTTCTTGTGCTGTTGCCATGCAGCTTACTGCCCGGGGCCCATGACACTCAAACATATCCATCTGTGCATTGCTCTAATAATAAAAAAAAAGAAGAATTACATATTAAATTAGATCATAAAAGATGCATCATTCTGTAGTGTATTTTAGACTTAAACTTGAACTAGTAACTTCTAGTAACTTCATTCAGTTTCTGTTTTTAGGATAAAAATTCCCTTTAATCCTTTCGCTGCCACCAGTTTACGGCGGAACACAACTGTTTCCAACTGGCCACATCAGTAAGCCTTAAGTGGGTGGCTTTCACCCTACTGCTATAAGCTTTAGCGACCATGAATTTATATCAGAACGGTTCCCCCAAAGGCCGCCTTTAAAATAATACGGTAGTTGTCATCAACGACTGAAAAGCCCCCCCAACAGTAAAAAAATAAATACAAAAATTAAAACACACACACACAGTATACACATGCAACAGTGTGCACCATATTGTGGTGTACGCCATGCACATGCGCAACATTGTTAGAACACATCACAGTGCTTAATTTTTTCTTTTACAAATAACATTAATTTAACTGTGGCAGTGCGTGGCAAAGTGTTGTGACGCATTGCCCTGCGTTGATACGCTGTGTTGAGATTACATGTACGCTGTATCATTTTATCACTACACACACGAATACAGTGCACAAATGTTTAACATAAGTCACGTATTTATAGTTTTGCGTTATTTTTTTTAACGTTTCGCAAAAAATGTGCACTTTAAAATCTACAAATATGTATTAGCTCAATACAGTTTTATCCTTTACATTTAGTCAAAAAAATATTTTTTTTGTGCAGATACTGATTTTAGTGTGCTTCCATCAATTTAATATTGATTTGATAAACATTTGCGCAATTATCGCAGGACCTACAAAATTAGTAGCACCATCTTTTTATTCTACCGGGCCAGAGCTTTCAGAAAATATATGATTTGGGGGGTCTTTTACAAACACTAGCAAGGCAGCACTCAGAAAATCAAAACAATGGGAAAAATTGCAAAAATGGTGTGGCCAGCTGAAGGGCTAGGCAGCGAAAGGGTTAAAGGAGGAGTAATGATCACTAGGACTGTTGATAATTGAATGCTTTGAACTGAGCTGCAGCTGATGAAACACTCAGATTAGACAGAAAATACCCCAAATTGGAGTGATGCAATGACTGTGATAATCACAATGTTTTTGAGCTACTAAAGCTGCACATACACCTTACAACCATCGCACGACTTTCATTCAGGTCATTAAAACTTCGTACGACCTGCCAATCTTGGACAGGCAGATCGTACTTGCGATCCCGCTGAGGGGAGGGCTTGCCGATGATTGCAATGCTGAACAGGCAGTGTGCACTTGCGTAAACCGTCCCATGCGGCTTTCGTCTTGTGATCGCGCTACCAACCCGCCGAAATTCGTACGACTTTCGGCTGGTTTTCTAGCATGCTCGTAAGAGGAAAGTCGTGTGATCGTACAGTAAATGCGGTCGCACGCTGCCCATACACCTGCCGATTATCGTACGATCAATGGATCACCCACTATTACCTTACGATAATCGTCAGGTGTATGGGCACCTTAAGAATCGGTTATAGGAGATTGTTACTGTACAGGGAGATTTTCCAACGTGCTGGAATATTTCCTAGAATGCAGGAATCACCCCTCCCTGTCTCATATGGAATAGTGAAGAATTGTTATCATCATGTACACTACTGCCACAGACAAATAACTTGCAAAACCCTGCACTAAAAAAAACAAAAAAAAAACAGCTTCAAGACAGGCAGATATTTTAACGATCTTTGTTCTCGGGGAGCCCATCCATGGCAATTGCTTGCAAGTCTTTCAAAAACTTTCCAAAAACTAAATTCCAATAGTTTTAATTAGGGATTCACCGATACCAAGTACCGTACTCGGTACTAGTACATGTGCAGATACTTTGAGCTCCAAGACTAGACTAGAGAAAAATTCAAAAAGTTAGGAGGCAGTTGTCATTTGTAAGAAGCACACAGAGCTCCTGGGATTTGTACATCTCGGTTTTATTGTATGATTTTGTTTTTATAAATATAAACTGATGCACCGATACCATTTTTGCAAATACAAGTACTGATACTTGCCCAAGTACTTAGAAGTACTGATACATTTTTGTTTATTGTCATGTGACAATTTTTCTAAAACAATACAGAGTAATGATTTCAGGACAGTGGTGGAGCCCCAGAGCTACGTCCCAGCTGCAACACTGGTAGTTCTCATGAAAATGCAAAGTATCGGCATTGGTACTCGAAAAGTATCGGTGCATCCCTAGTTTTAATGCATGAAACTAAATCAGCTTTTTTTCAGCTGAATGAAGACCAGATGAGTGTACTCTGACAGCTATTAATAAACAAGCATGGGTGGATTCTACCACTGGACATTTACTGTAAACATAACAAGGTTACTTCAGTTTTAATAAAAGTAAAAGACCCAAGTAAAATCCCTCCCCAGAGTTCTCAAGCTGTATTGACGTATCACTGTCTCTGTCTTGCAGCAAATGTGGGAGACAGGTTGCTAGGAAAGTCCTGGCATGGTCAGGTCGCAGAGCTATCACCATGACCGAATGTGTGTTTATCTATAGAGCAATACCTTACTAGGACTTCTGAGTAGCTTCAACTGCAAAGATATCAATGTGTGTGCCTTAAATGGGCTGAATTAAAAAAATATCTCCTCGGTATTTCAGAGCTTCAACCACTGGCGGAATCTTCAGGATCTAACAATCTTCTGGGTGTGTTGGATGTCTATGTCCCCCACTCCAGCACTGTGGCTTTACCCACCGGCTGCAAGGACACACTAGTGTAAAAGTAGCATTCTGCAAGTGGAACTACAGCTCACCACAGGGGATGAAGCACCGGACACACCAGAAAGTGTGTTGGAAGCTGAAGATTCTGGATTTGAGGAACTAGCAGCAGGACACATAACATAAATACTTGTCTTTTGCATTGTGGTGTTTTTTTAATTTTTGTATTCAGTGGGTCTATTTAAAGGCTAAATTCACCTTTTAGACCTTGTTTCATGTTACACCCATATTTAGGGTGTAACAAGAAACATGGTCACATGACGGGATCCTCCATACTGCTATGTTATACTACATGCAACAGAGACTACCTATGACTCTTCTGACCTCAGTTAATGAAGCAATATGTTAGGGTCCCCACACACCTTACGATTATCGTACGATAATCGCGGGAAATCCCGCGATCGTACGATGATCGTAAGGTGTGTGGAAGCCATGCGACCTCTACCGCTGTAAGGTCGCACGACTTTAAACTTACGGACATGTTCGAAAACCCGCCGAGCATCGTACGATGTTCGGCGGGTTTGTGGCATGTCCGTGCGATAACAGCCGTAATGGCTGGTGTGCGCAAGCGCACACTGCCCGTTCAGCATTGCGGTCATCAGAAGGCCGCCCCTCAGGAGGCGTGGCTTGCGATCATCGCAGGTACGATCTGCCTATGCAACATAGGCAGATCGTGCGTTTTTTTAAGTACCTTACAACCATCGCAAGACAAAAGTCTTGCGATGGTTGTAAGGTGTGTGACCAGCCTTACACACCCAAAGGATCCAACTCAAAATCTACACAACAGTGCACATACCTTGGTGGAGAAAGTGACCACTGTTCCATTAGCAAGACCTGCATATAGGTTTTTCCATCGTGTGTGCAGGCACAAGACTCGTTCTCCAAGATCTAAGGTGTCAATGCACTCCTTGGTCTACAAAGACATGAGGGTAAAGAAGGTAAAAAGAGAACGATTCCAAAACACATTATACTTTTTTTTTATACTTCCTTGATACCATGAAATAGTATTCGCAAAACAGGGAGAAAAGAGAATCTGCTAAGACTGTTGCTAAAAAAAAAAACAAAAAAAAAAAACCCGACAAATTGTGAAGGGAGTAGAGCTGCAACAACTATTCGAATTAGTCGATTAAAATCGACGATGGAAAACACTGTCAACGTTTTCCATCGCCGATCATTCGGCTACCAATTAAATTGCCTGTTCGCCGCTCCACCGCACACGCCGGTTAAGCCGCGCACGCTGAGGACATGCCTCTGCTCCTCTCCTCCCTGTGAGCTTCCTGACCCGCCGCTGCACGCCGACAATCAAGGGCCCACGATTCAAAGTAAGTCACTCAGCAACGACATTCTAAACCTTTTTAATGTTTCCGGTTTAAAAAAAAAAAAAAGCAGCACACTGCAGAACACCAGCAGCTATAGAGGAACAACAAATGCCAGTAATAATACATTAAAGAGCCTATATAATGCTGGGGTTTGTTGTTCCTCTAAAGCTGCTGGTATTCTGCATTGCACTGTATAATGTACTATTGCTGCGATTTGTTGTATTACTCCATAGCTGCTGGTATTCTGCACTGCGCCGCTGTATAATGTACTATATTGCACACCACACTTTTTTTTACTTCCACCGCTCCAAGCTTGCTCCTGTGATGGACTACAATCTCAATACAAATTAGTAGTCCATCACTGGAGCCTTTTGTTTTTTTTTATCCGAATAACCGATTAATCCAACTTAATAATCGGCTAACTAATCGATCGGCGTACCAACAGTGTAAGGAGGCCATGTTATGCCTTCCCTTTGTGGGAGACCCTATTTTCCGATCTAAAGATTAACACCACAAGTGGACCAGTCATGGGTACATCAATTTTGCAGTAAATTTTATTTTAAAAGTTGTTTAGGGGTTTTCTGGAGGTAAGAACAATTTTTTCCAACATTATAAGCACTTTTTTTTTTAATGTAAAGAATTTCCAACCTGTCACTGTGGAGGTGGTAGAGAAAGCTAAAAACAACTGACAGATAACTCCTAGACTATCTTTGGCTGGGCACACACCTTGCAACCATCGCAAGACTTTTGTCTTGCGATGGTTGTAAGGTACTTAAAAAAACGTACGATCTGCCTATGTTGCATAGGCAGATCGTACTTGCCATGATCGCAAGCCACGCCCCCTGAGGGGCGGGCTTTCTGATTACCGCAATGCCGAACGGGCAGTCTGCGCTTGCGCACACCGGCCCGTCTGGCTTTTATCTAACGAACATGCTACAGACCCGCCGAACATCGTACGATGCTCGGCGGGTTTTGAAACATGTCCGTAAGTTTAAAGACGTGCAACCTTACAGTGGTAGAGGTCGCACGGCTTCCACACACCTTGCGATAATCATACGATCGCGGGATTTCCCGCGATTATCGTACGATTATCGTAAGGTGTGTGGGGACCTTTACTCAGAAATAAAATCTGCCAAACTATGCAGAGTCCTAGTGACTGGGTAGGGTCGGCTTGACATCTGATAATGCCCAGCTTTAAACATTTACAATATTACTTTGGGGTGTGGCTGGCATGGCAATATGCACAGATCTGCTTTCTGAGTCTCCCGCCAGCCATCCTTTACAAACCATCCTTAATCTGCGCAATCCTTTTTTTTGCCTGCATCCTTTATACAGCAAGTATCCTTACTACCTGCTCCTAGTGCAACCTTGTAGTTGAAGAAACAGGGAAGGGCACTGCTCTATCCAATATGGTGCCGGCTCACTGCCTCCCAGAACTGGGAATGACAGAGGCCACGATTCAGTAGCTCGAGTGGAGAAATTTGTCAGAACGTCAGCGAAAGAGTGCCTGACCCGTGTTACAGAAAGTCCCACATCACAGACTGCGGAAGTGGAGACTAAGATGGTGCAGAATGAGAAACAGGACAGTATAACTTTACATAGGAACACAGCATATACAGATTTTAGTGCCTTTTATATACAGATATTTGAAGCATTTACATTCCTTCTTCTAACTGTGAGTATATCTGTAAAAAATAAATCAAGGCAACTGGACTTGCTGTATTTTTCTTGAATGCAGTAAGTCCAGTTGCCTTGATTTATTTTTTACAGATATACCATGACCTGGATGAATGAAAACCTTTACAGACACTCCCAATAGTATTAGAAAGTAACATACATACCTTAACATTAAAGCATCGGACTGTGTGGTCACTAGAGCCAGTATACAGTACTATGTTCCCCCCTCGCCTGTGTGTCACAAGGAGACAGTTTACTTTTGATGTGTGTCCTTCAAAAATTGCCTTACATTTTCGGGTCTAAAATAAAAAAAATATGAACAATGATTTACTATTATTTTTTTTTTATATCTGTCAGCCATACAAAAGTATTATGATAAGGACAGAATCAAGACAAAACAACTCCCTCCAATGGCTGTATGAATGCGGTCTTAACCCAATCCCATCATGCGGTTTTCACATATAAAGTTTGGAGCAGGAAATAAGGTTGCTCTGGACAACTATCTCTGTCACATGACCAGTGTCTCCTTTCCTGATCGCATATAAGCAATTTTTCAGAGTTACTAAGGAAAACGTTGGTTGTACGGGTTTAGTACGGCAACCCGCGAATGCGACAGTGCCGTCCGTCCGTTTTTCTACTACGGGCGGACGGCAACTGGTTAAACAAGTAACCTGGTGTTCTGATGATGAACTACACTCTCAAAATTTATACCGATGGTGTCATCTGTTATTTCAGCACCTGTTTCCTGATGTTACTATTGTTGTAAGGAAGTGGACCTGAAAGTTCATTTGTCTTTCCTCAAATCATGGAGTATCAAATATAGACTTTGTCCCCTTCAAAAAACTGCAGCCTGAATTTTTATATGGCATGTAAAATACAGACTACAGTGTGCAGTATTGCTGCGGTATAGAGCGGAAAAAGGATAGCAATGTCCGCTTTGCATAATAAATGGGCCCATAGGAGAAGCTTCAATCAATATTTACTTCTACTTTACCTGAATTCCTTCCCTATGCATTTACTAAAACTGTTACTGTGTGTAATCTATGGAGAGCTGAGGGTTTGTTAGCCTTTAGGACTTGCAGATATCAGGAATATTCAAACTTTTCAGCAACTGCCGGCTAGTGGAAGAAAATGGTGGAAAAAAAAAACTCCGCAAAGTACAGTATCCCAAAGCAACCAATCACAATGATTTACTCCTTATTAGATACACCTACAGGATTTTTAAAAAATTGTATTTAGTATATAGGTTACAAATGTGTACTAAACGCTCTAAGATCTAGTTGTTTTTTTAAGAAAACGTACCACCAGATTGTATGCCCGCACTTTCTTGTCAGCTGAACAGGTGTAGAGGACTCCACGGTAAACCTGTATGGCATTAACCGAAGCCTGGTGTCCTTCAAAGTGGCCTTCTGTAGGTTCTTCATCTTCCCCAGATGATACCTCTGCCAAATACATTGAGCAGTAGTAATGAAGACAGGATTTGCAGCAGTCAAAAATTAACTTTGATATAAAGCAGCTATAATACACTTACCAGAAGAATTCTTTGTCCCTGGGGTAGGCGCTCTCTGCTCAATGCTAGAAAGGGAAAGAGAATAATTATGAAAGTAAATGACAAGTTGTTGATTTCAGTTTTCTATTTTTAATAACACATTATCTGCTTTTTATGTAAAGAAATGCAGCATGCAATTTAGGTGTATAAACATCTTAAAACAATGCATACATAGAATTCCAAAGCAGACAGGCTTTACAAATTGATTCCTGGTCACACAAAGTGTTCATACCATATGGGAATATGGGCAGCTTTACCTAGAGCGAGGACGATCCTGCTGTATGGGGTGATTTAATGCAGTTTGAAGTCCAGCTGTCCTTCCCCCTCATCTCTCCCAACTGAAACTCCGTAACTCAGTACGAGCTCATCCTGGGAGAGAATGTGAAGAAGCCTGAGATTTGCAGTTGTGATTGAGTGATCACAATTGCAATGCTTTCCAGGCTTGAATGCAAATATGAAAAAAAGCGCATAATTTTTTTATATATTATTAATTATGCATTTCTTTAATTTATGCAAAAGGTGATGCAAAAAGTGAACTTATCCTTTAAGGTATGGACAGGTCTGCATCATTAGTTCTACTGAATGTGTACCACTAATGGGTGCAAATGACTTACATGTAAAATAAAAGTCAGTTCTAACCCCTTATAAAAGGTCAGATCCAGATCTGGAGGGATGTATTGTGTATATTGAGCAATTTTAGTCGGTATGTACGTTTGGTTTTAATTTTTGTGTTTCTGAATAGAATAAAACAAAACTAAACCTTAGAACGTAGTTCATCATGGGAGCAAACTTCAAGTGGTAGCGAATTTATAATACACACAGGGACCCATGGGAAACAAAGTAGCTCTCCAGCAGGCAGGACAGTGTCAGCTGAGTGATACACAAATAAGCTACATTTTTGTTAGGAGTTTTGTTTGCTAAGGCCTGGTTCACACCTGTACGTTTTGTAGCGCGTTCAACACTCTACAAAACGCTCAAACATGAAAATCCCATTGTTTTCTATGGGTATGGTTCACACCTTGCCGTATCTCAGCACGTCTGAACGCGCTACAAAACGGCCTACGCCTGAAAAGGTACATGAGCTTCTTTGCGTTTTTGTCGCGCATTTCCATTGGGATACAGCCAAGTAGCCCTTGGAAACGCGCGTTTGTCGTGCGGTTTTTTACCGTGAATCGCGGTAAAAACGTGCGTTACGAAACGCGCATATTTGATAAGCCTAGGTGTGAACCCAGCCTTAGGGTGCTTAATTTTTTAAGATTTAACTCCCGAATTTAGTGTCACTTTAAATAAACAAATTAGATTGTTACTCAGGCTTTAATGGTAACATCTATTTAAGTGGAATTAGAATGTTGTTGGATATTCAACCCTTAAATGGTAGACACCACTTCAGGCATCCCAGTTTTAAAGAAAAACGCTGAGCATAATTATTCTAAACCCATGCAGTGGAGCTACCCCCGCACTGCAAAGGTTAAGTGCTCATTTTGGGACGAAAAAGAACAAGCATATACTCACCCCATCCTCGCAGATGGCTGGCTGACTGGTCCATGGAGCCGCTCTGCTCCTCCACTCCAGCATTAGAATATCCCTCGACATCCTATACACTGGGACGCCGAAAGGGAATAAAGGCTTCAGCGACCGTTATAACAGCCAGCCGGCCTCAAGGTTCAGGTGAGTACATCTTTGTTATTTTTGTCCCTACATGAAAACAAGCACTAAGGCCTGGTTCACACCTGAACGTTTTGTAGCGCGTTCAACGCTCGACGAACGCTCTACAAAACGCTCAAACACGAAAATCTCATTGTTTTCAATGGGTCTGGTTCACACCTTGCCGTATTTCAGCCCATCCCTAACGCGCTACAAAACGGCCCACGCCTGAAAAGGTACATGTACTACTTTGGGCCGTTTTTGTTGCGCGTTTCCATTGGGATATAGCCAAGTAGCCCTCGGAGACGCGCGTTTGTCGTGCGATTTTTTTACCGCGAATCGCGGTAAAAAACCGCGCGACAGACGAACATATGCAATACGCCTAGGTGTGAACCAGGACTAATACCTTGCAGTGCCGGGGTAGCACCACTGAAAGGGTTGAGAATATATATGCCTGGAGTTCTTCAAGTATCATGATGTACACCAAAACCCAGTTTCTCCTATCAAAGAAGAAAGAGTACACAGTTCCCCTACTAGATCAGACTTATGGCTCTCTAATTAGTAAAGCATATGCTCCCCACTGATTGGAGAGCCACTCTGCAGGACACAGGCTTTTTTTTTTTTAATGCATTTAGCCAATATAAACTGAAAGTTCAATTGGGCTTTAAGGATTTAAAATATTTATTGAACATTTTTAGCTGGTCACACAGCTAGCCAATATCCTTGTGTTAAAGCTTTGTAAACTCAGACTTTACATTTTTAAACATTCTGCAGACTGCATTAGCTTCACATCCAGTGCTCACCTTGTCAAAATATTCTCTGGGTACCTTGTGCCGAGTTCACTGGTGGAGGTTACTTCATCATTCTTTTCTAACTTGCCCGGTTGTGGACAGTTTGCAAGATCAGTTTTGGACGGACTGTCTGGTTTTTCATCATTGGAATCTATCTCCACCACTTCAAAGCAAGGTTTTGGTAATTCCATCATTTCTATGCTGGAATCGCTGTCATTGTCATCTTTGTTTATTTTGGAATCCTGTGACATAGCATCCATCTCTAGCGGAGTAGAAGTGCTGACTGTAGCTTCCTTTGAAAGTTTTCTACACTTGACTTTTCTAACAGGCTTGCTGACGTCCTGTTCAGTGTCACTGTTTTCAGGCACATGTGCAGCACGTAACGTCTTCTTTTTTCGCAGTTTCTTCTTTTTCTTGCCTGCCTTGGAATTTGCTGAAATCAAGGTTGAATCTATGAGCTCTGAAGGGGCTACTGGACAGTCGGTGCCTTTTGGAGACATACTGAAGGGAAGAGATCGGCCTTGAAGTGGACCAGGCACAGAAGTAGGTGGATTTTCAGGGATGTCCACTTCCTGCGTTTGTGAAAAAACTGGAGTTGGTGATAAATCAGGAGGTGGCGATGTTGCAGTTGATACATACTGCTTTTCATTAGATGCTTCTGTGTTAACAAGAAACTTGCTTGCAAGCTCAGAAAGAGACATGGAGGTTGTAATAACTGGATACACTGGTGTATTTTGACTGTCTACACGTAGACAAAAAAATTATGCATTAAAATAGTACATTTGTAAAGACCATACACAGTATATTAGAGTTTCACTGTTCATTCTACTTATGTGAAATGACATCTACTTCACATTGCAGTGGATGCTGCCCTACAATATACTTATGAACAGTTCAATATTTCTACTAATGAAAGCTGAACACACAAACATCCATACACTCATACAGACCATTACTGTACCCTGGTACTCAGTGCTTAGCCTTAATGCATCCCAAAATAAAGCAGAGGAATGCTTTGACTGCTGTTTTTCAAAATAGCTAACTTTAGGCACATCTGCATAGCACAGCATTGTGCATTACATATGTGCACTTCACATTGCCTGCTTCTGGATTCTGAAGCAAGCGGCATCCCAGTGATAAAAAAAGTGCAGGGAGGAAAGTTTGGTTTTATGACTTGTGAAATGCAGATAACCGAACTCTGCTTCCAACCCAAACGTTTTCTCTGCAGTGTTATCCCGAGCCCCACACTGTGACCTGCATTTTAATAATGACTCATAATATGCAGATGTAGTGTGAACTAAACACTGCGGTGTCCTGCGTGGAGCAGATAGCAGCATCCTATCCCATTTTAAATAGGTTACCTGGTTAAGTCTGTAAAGGTTCTCATTCATCCAGGTCATGGTATATCTGTAAAAAAATAAGTCAGGGCAACTGGACTTGCTGTATTTTTCTTGAAGATATATCACTGGTCATCCAGCTTTCTCAATTCAGAATGACTTGTACAAAAAATTGGAGTCTAGGAGGTATTATTCACCTACCCAGAGAGGTGTTAAAACAGCATTGTATGTGGCAGAAAATAGATGTCACATTTCAAAACTAACTGGTTTGCAGATTTATCTGACTGCAAGTCAGTGCAAGAAGAGTGAAGATTACCTACTTCAAAAAGGGAGTATCACTTATTTGCGACTTTACTTGTGATTTTTTTTACTTGTATTTGCACTTTGGGAATATTTTGCAAGAATGTGCTCAGCTTGACTACTTGAAAATCTTTTCTAGTATGTTTCCTAGCCAGACGGTAATTTTGTAAAAAAAAACACTTCTGTGACAAGAATACATGATATGCCATCAGAATAAAAGCAAAATAAGTTATATTACAAATCAATATACCATTAGTTTCTGGTGGTGCAGCTGCTTGTAACCATGGTAGCGGTGGTGTGGAAAGGTTTTCCTCTGCTCCAGGTGACACTGGTTCTTGTTTAACTGCTACAGGTGAATAAGGTGTTGCAGTTGTAGCAGGGGCAGGAAGGATGGCTGCTGGTGTAAAAGTGGGGACTGGAGCTGGTAAGAGAGAGCTGTCTGGGGTCTGGGTAGGAAGATAAGGTGGAGCCTCCAACTGCAAAGGAAGCACATTACTGGAACTGACAGCTGATGGCTGTGGACCTGTAGCTATACTGGATCCTCCCTCTTCTGCCTCAGTGGCTGAGCCAAAGGTTCCTATTCACAAATTAAAAAGAGTAGGGAGATATTATACTCTTTGATATCATCAACAGTACAATACACACAGTTTCGTTTTTGCCATAATTCCATACCTTGAAGTCCCTGAAGAATCTGAATTCTCTGTGTCCTCAAGGTACCCATTTCGACTGTGATCTGTATGAAGAGGGAGATTTGAAAAATGATTATAAAATCAGCAATATTAACCAATTTAAAAAGGAATTATGTTCATTTGTTCCGGCATTAAAAGCAAACTATAAGGTTTGCCAGTTTTAGCACGGCAAGGCATATCCCAGACAGCCAAAAGCCCTACAAAATTGTAGCTAGAGCCTTTCCTGAATTGAAAGGAACCCAGGATCGATGTCACTGTTTGCTGGAAAAAGACTACATCTTGGGAATCCACATCATTTTGTCCTCAAAGTCCAGAAACAAACCACATCCCCATAATAGAGAATCCTTGCTGGCCATACACATAGGTAATTTAAACCACTTCAAAATGCAAAAAGAACAAAAAACACATCAAAGAATTCTGCCACCAACAGTTTATCTGGTAGGGCTGCTGGTAGGCTGCCTTGATTGGTTCAAACCCTTGCCAAAGCTGGTCAAAATTGCTAGAGACGTGCACATGTGTCGCCAGAAGGATTCTGGAGATTTCCACAAGCCACGTTTCCTACTTATTCCCAATTAGTTTCCTTGTTTTGAGTGGCCGTATGAGCCTGTTATGAAAAACAAATAAATAAAGCTACTATAGTGCAGTCAAATTTTCATGTCAGTTTTTGGTAAGTTGGTCACTAGAAACCATTTTGTATTACAAAAAAAAAAATCAATCTGTGGATAAAAAATAAATAAAAAAAAAAACCACAAAATACCACCAATAGATCGAGTATAGCCCAACTCCAGCCAACATTCTTCTCAGGGTTTTGTGAACTATGTCCCCATTGGGGACATTTACCCTTTACTTCCAGCTGGGACAGGAAATTATGAGAAATCTCTCCAGTGGGAACAGTATTAGGAAGTGTAGCAAAATCACTATTAAATTCTTCACAGTATTTACAAATTCCCAAGTCTATCTAAAGCAAACATAAAAATATTTTGGCTGGAGTACAGCTTTAAAACTGCCTTGATCCACTTACATTTTTAGGTCAAAAACAGGAGGAAAGTGGCTGAAATTTTTAAATATTTTGCCCATATGTATCACCAAAATGAACTCCTGCTGGTCCACCATGTCAGCACTTGAAACAAAAGAGTAAACAGAGAAGGCAGGACACAGCATGTCATTGCATCTTTTTTGCCTGTTTATTCCTAGCTAGTCAGTTATGTCTTCATATAATCTATACATATAATTGAAAGTATAAAATGTATGTATGCATGTATGTATCATCCGTAGCAAAATGCCTAATTAAGCTATAAGTAGAATTATCAACCTACTTGCCAGTAGACTTCAATATTGTCCCAAAGAGACCAATGTTTTACCTGTTGTTTCAGAATCATTAAGCGTTGGACTTCTAAATAAGCTGCCTGTAGAGCAGTGCGGGCCTGGTTAAGGTTGTTATCAACACCCTGAAGTGAGTTGTTTAGCTCTTCTTCCTTTAGGGAGATGTTTAACAACTGATCCACTTGGGAGCGCTCTGTAGAAGCACAAATTACAATATTCATTTTTAAATTCACTTGCAGTCATAAAAATATACATATATATCTATATATATAATGAAAGGTAGTTATTGAGGCTTATAAGCAGATACAGCACAGAAGGCAGAGGTCGGCAACTCCTCAATTGCAGGTATGCGACATGTAGATTGCGACCAATCCCGTTGTGCCACCAGCTCCTGACCCTGCTACGCCACCTCTCAGACCTCAGTTTAGAGCAGCAATTTAAATACAGAACTAAGGGAAGTCCCAGGCTCCTCCTCAGCTCTGATGTGTCCCATGACACATCAGAGGGGAAACCTGGGAGAACCTTACTCACTCTGCCGGGCAGCACCAACTCTGAACTCTGCATTACATGATCCTGACCCCTGAACTCTACATTACATACTACTGACCCCTGCATTCCCTGAACCTTCCTTACATCTCCTTAAAACCCAATATAACATTTAGGGATGCACCAATATAATTTTTCCATATTGAGTACAAGTACCGATACTTTTACTCAAGCACTCAGCGATACCAGTTACCGATACCTTTTTTTTGCGTCATGTGACAGTTTTTACTGTTTTAACAATAAAGACTAATGATTTTAGAACAGTGGTGGAGCACCAGGGCCCAGTCACAGCTGCAACCACTGCGACACTGGTAGTTTTGCCACAGACTCCAAGCTGTGGAGGGACTACAAATGTCAGCATTATATAGCAATGCAGAATACCACCAGCTATTGAGGACTACAAATCCCAGCCGTACTTATACAGCAAGGCAGAATAATATGAAACAAAATTTTCTGCGTTGCTCACAAGGGCTGGGTGGGACTCCCCCTGTATAATTTAAAACTAATACATTTAAAATTATACAACTAAAAAGTATTTGTACACTGGCCCCTAAACATAAAAGCAAACATACTAACAATATGGTTTATATAAAATAGGTGTCTCTAATGACATAAAAAAAAAAAAAAGATTCCTGCTAATAAAGCTCACCTTTTTTCCCTCGAATTTTCCTTCTCTTGGAGTCTCTTTGCAAGATTGAGGTTTCAGGACAGGAACCATCCTTCCCAAATGGAAAATCAAATAAAAGTGAGATGAGAAATATTGTATGTATAAACAAAACAATTGGTTTTATATGGTAATGGTAAAACTCACCAATGACAAAATACATTCATTGTTACGTCTGTCTGATCAGGCATTCCTAGCACGCTCTCCTGCAACAGCTGCCATCATGGAATAAAGTTACTTTAGGAAGGGAGTGGAACAGCCTGCAGCAGTGCTGGCATATTATAGTTCCATGATGGGAAGAATTTACACTGCAATACCAACCTGCAGATTTTTTACAGAACAGAGGTCTCAATTTTGTCAGTGTGTGCACCCCAAATGCATGTATTGATAAGCTAAATCAAAAAGTCAGTCCTTAATTTACCTGAAAAGTAGATCTAGGACAAAAGGAGCTACAGATCCACTTTCTAGTGTGATCTATATCATCTAAACATACTCCTCGTAAACTGATTTGTAGGTCCTGTACATATTTTTACAAGTCTTCAAGAACACTGTGGGACCCCCCAAAACCCATGCCCTTTAATCTGCCATCTTTGATACTTCTTGGTATGTTGAAGGTTGGCCTGCCATCCACATATTTCTAAAATTAGGTTTAATTGAAAAAAAAAAAAAAAAGAAAAGAAAAAACAGCACAATGACCCATTCCATATCAAATAGCGTGTATAAACAATAAGGGGTTATTTAATTATTCAGTAATTTATTTTATTGTAGCCAACAGAAGAAACCGCAGGCAGGGGAGGGCGAGCCAGCCTTCTGCACAACCAGTAATACAAAACTACAACACCTCAGGTTTCAGGGAGCCCGGTGACACTCTTGTAAACTTCTGAAGATTCTGCAGGAACAAGTTATACAAATAGATAAACTTACCCCGGTGGCCCTTCTTTTCTTTCCAACTCCCTGGTTGTCATTCTGCTCTGTGCTGGATGCACAGCTGTCAGTACCTCCATCCACATGACTGCTGACTGTGGCAACCACATTTACACAAGTATTCTGGAACATACACAAGCTATCTGAGGGCGCACAGGTTTCTTCAGTTCCTCTTTGACTTTGTGACATTTCAAACAATCTTGAACTAGAAACACTGCTACTGGCTATAGCAGGAGGTTCTACAGGGAAATTGCTGCCTATTTTCTCATGGCTGGCAGGTGAAGTTCTTGACGAATCCTCCTTTGGTCCAGATGTTGCTGGTGTTAGCTGGCGTGTTGGAATGCTTGGTTCGCCACTTGTGTCGGAGGTATGGCTATTAAATATATTGTATACAGAGCCCTTTTCAACAGCTACACTGCTTTCCGAGAGGCTCCTCTTCCTCACCGACCCTAGTGGACTTGCAGTGATGCTTTCCCAGTGATAGCTTTCAATCCCCAAATCTGACTCCTCATCAAAGTCAAGACCATCGTGTTCACTTTGAACCTGTGCTACCATTTCAATGCCAAACCTTTAATGAAAATCAAGGGAAATAAAAACAAGAAATTTATATTTTTTTAATAATTTAAAAGGACAACAAGGAAAACACTGATATGTTTAGGCTCTAATGGAAACAGCCATTGTCTGACTCATGCTACATAGTAGCTCCAGAATAAGAAGTGACTCATTAACAGGGCTTGAAAAAGAGGACGGTGGAGCCCGACGAGCAGCTTCCCGGCCGGCCGTTGCAATTACATGGCCGGCCGGGAGCTTTACAGTCAAACGATCGGGCGTCTTTAGAGACGCTCGATCGCTTGTAGTAGCAGCTGTCACTGCCGTTGACGGTCCCGAGATCGGCTGTGCCCGATGCGGCTGGGACCGGCACGGCTCTGTGACAGGAGATCAAAGGGAGGTCAGTACACGATCTCCCTTTGATCTACTCTCCAGTCTCGGAATGCAGGAAGGGATGTACATTACATCACTTCCTGCATTCAGTGTTACTTTCCAGCTACAGTAGCTGATGAAGCAGATCTCTGCTTCATCAGCTTCTCTGGGGGTCCCTAGGTGGCATTAGGGGTCTTGGAGACCCCTGATGTCTTCATAAAGAGGGCCTGTCATGTAAATTGGCTATCACATAGGGGCTTCTTTGCCTCCCCCATGTGATAGCAATAAAGTTGTGTAAAAAAAAAAAGTAATACAACAATTAAAGAATCATTAAAAAAAAGCATTAAAAAAGAAAAAAAAATGTTTTTAAGTCCTCCGCCCCTTCACATACACATGCAGCTATGCATCGGGTGCGCCTACGTGCGAAAACAACAATTGCGCCTATTGTGCCGCACATGTTAGATATAACCGCGAAAGTCGGAGTGTGAGCAATAATTTTAGGGCCATTAATTACTGAGAACACTAAACTGATGAGCGGTAAAAGCGTTTTAAGCGTCGCCCATGGCCAGTTTTCAGTGTGGTAATTTTTTGCAATTTTGCGGGCGCACGCAATTTTAAGGCTTGACATGTTTGGTGTCTATTTACCCGACGTGAACCCGCCTTTTATATTTTACCAAAAATATGGGTAAGAATAGATGTTTTATAACATAAACGTAGGGAAAACATTTTTTTTTAATCGAAATTTACAGTACTTTTTTCATTATATAGTAAAAAATACCCTCCCCCCCAGTGGTGATTATATACCTCCAAAAGAAAGTATATAAAGAAATTTACCCGACGTGAACCCGCCTTTTATATTTTGCAGGTAAATGAGGGGGGAGTCGGAGAGTTCAATAGCAATATGAAAAAAGAATACATTTATTAAATATACACAGTTGACAAAAATCTAACACATTAACTGGCTGCACAGTTGATACCTACTAACCCCACACCTTTAAAAATGATTATTGCAATAATCCATTCGTATAAAACAGCATTTTGTACAAATGGATTATTGCAATAATCATTTTTAAAGGTGTGGGGTTAGTAGGTATCAACTGTGCAGCCAGTTAATGTGTTAGATTTTTGTCAACTGTGTATATTTAATAAATGTATTCTTTTTTCATATTACTATTGAACTCTCCGACTCCCCCTCATTTACCTGCACTCTGTTCAAGAGCCTCCCTTGGCTGAACAAATTCTTTATGTACTGTAATAGCAGCAGGGGGGATGATCGTTTTTGAGAGTTACTAAGCTGAGTTAAATAACTCGATATTATCCTGGTGTGAGGATCTCTAGGTACATCTCTCTTCTTTCACCTCCAAAAGAAAGCTCTATCTGTCCCCAAAATTTTTTAACATAAATTGCAAGGCTATAGTCCGGTCATGCTGACTGGTGACATTTTTGACTGACTGGCGAGACACCCTAACATTTTTCAAGCCCTGCTCATTAAATAGGTTGAGATTCACTGCCCCAGAACTACAGGCCCCATGAGTTAAGGGATGGCTGATTCCATCACAGCGCAGTTAAAACTTCTGTCAGTTTCTTTTTATCGCTGTCTATGCTAGGCTGACTGACCATCGTCATTGGGACAGAGTGGGGGAAGAATCCAAAATCCTGAGTTGGCACTAGAACAGAAAGAGGGGGAATCCTCTAATCGGATATATTGGGAATGGGGTGTCTCTAAGACAGTGAGTAAAGGAATATTTTGCCAAAAGGGACAGATTTTTTTAACAGTCTATTGAAGGAAAGAATAGAAATGACGTTTACACATACTTAATTAGAATTACCATTGCTAACACCTCCCGAAAATGCTAGTTCCTTAGCTTTCATGCTTTTTCATTCAGCTTCAATGTTTTGGGTTGCTGATCCTAAACAATTATGCAAGTTGAAAGTTTTAACTTGCTGCATATTTGTTATGAGACTTGGAAAGGACTCATGCCACAGACAACTAAACAACCAGCATTTTCATAAGAGCAGAAGTAGCCAGGTATTTCTCTGAATTCTGGTTTTTGGCACATGCCCCTCTAGTGCCAAGCTCTGTTCTGGTAATTTAGTGGGCAAAAGAGGACCTGGAATTTAGAAGTTGATTGGCAAGGGTTACTTGGGATCCTAGGAAGTCCTATACACACAATGGTCCTAGAATCCAAGGAGGCGCTACATGGATCTAATTGAAAACAAACATAAGATGCCTGCATCTACTCACTGTTATTTTAAGTTCACTTGATGCGCAGCTTAAAATGTATACCTAGGCAAAAAAAAAACACATATGCAGTACATCTACCCATGAATAATTCCTTTAAAAACTCAGAAAAAAATAAAATAAAATAATACCTGTAGATCTGTCAGAAATCCGATGTCCCTCTATTCTCCTGACTGAGGTGACAAGAGAGTACCCCCAATGCAAAAAAACTTAAAGCAGTGTAGTCAGTCCTCGCCTGCAGCACTGCAGAATACCTTTACCCGCGCCTAGTCTCTAATACAGGAGAGGGGTTCTGCAGCCCAGCAGGGCAAAACTCAGGCAAGGATGACAACAGCTGCTTGGGATTCCGGCGCAGCATTTTGCACATTTATCCATTACAGAGATGTACTGCATGTTGTTATTTATTGCCCAGACATATACTTTAAAAAGATTGTATTTATTCACATATTTATGTTAAAGTCCATCTTTAAAAAGCCCTGGAATTGAAGAGGGCAGACAAATCTTGCTATAACTCAAAGTATTACAGCCAGTGGAACCAATGGGTCACTTCCTGAGAACATGGACACAGAGAGCAAGAAATATTGGCCTATTGTCTCTCCATTGATTTATAACAATACATTCACAAGATCGAATGTATTCTTATAAAGTAATGTAGCGCTCCTGTTTTGAATGATTGATTTTTGTTAAAGCTCAGCTTATATACTGACTGAAAATTACATGCCCCGTTAGAAGCAATAAAAACCTGACAGACTCATCTCCACTTTACCCAGAAAGGAATTTCATGCTATGAAAAGTTCTTATTCAAAAAACATGCTGGAAGGTTAATTGGCTTCTGTCCAAATTGGCCCTATACGTATGAATGTGAGATAGGGAAAGCACTGCGTAAATCGTTGGCGCTATATAAATACCAATAAATAATAATAATACCCAAATGCAACTGCATTAAGACAAACCTTGGCAAGCCTTTGCCTTGCTCTTGTCTCTTCTTTGACACCTGTTGCATGACCTGCTCCCAGTTAATATTCCTTCTTGATACATTCAGAATCTGACGAAGGGTTGGTTTGAGTCCTGAATCCTTGTCACCATCACTCTTACGATGACCACTTTTGTTCCTGATGCGACGTGCACTGTTGAGGTTTGGCTCTGGGGGATGTGTTCCAGGCTTGCTTCTTGAACTAATATGTCTAGTTAGATCTCTCTGGAGGGAAACGGGAAGCCCAAGCTTGCTCAATTCTGGCAATATTGGATTGGAGGAATGGCCAGCACTTTTTTGAAGTTCAAGATCAGAAATAATTTCAAGATTTTCACAGTCATTACAGTCTTGAGATTGAGGAGAGTTTCTGTTATCTCCACTATCAGGAGACTCATTGTTCACTGAACATTTTTCAAAAGATTTTGCAATAAATGGGCCAGAATTGGTGGTGATTTGTTCCAAGGATTTTGTGCCATCATCTGCCTTGAGGGAGACATTTTTATCACAGTTATTACTAGGTGACTCCACTGCAGTTTCCATTTTAGGTGCATTACTGAACAAATCATCATCGCTAACATCTTCCAAGATCTCATCAGAAGAAACACCATTCTGAAAAGAGCCATGTGTTGCCTCAGTTCCTCCAGTCTTTGGATCACTAAATGTGCTGCTCAAAGACTGGGTGCAAGAGCTCCGCAAGGCCTGGCTATTACGTAGCATCTCTTTGGCTTTGCGCAACACCTCACCAAGGGTTTCCACTGGCTCCTTATTGCTATTCTCTTGGGCCTCCTCGCTGTTCGTTGTACTCTTAACTGCACTGCGAAATTTGGAAGTACAATTGGATCTAATAGTTTCTAAATTGAGAGCACTTAGTCGACTGTGTCTCTCGCCAAAAGGTGGAAGTGACATTTTTACACCTTTGAAAGGATTCTTTTGATCTCTTTTTAAAGCGAACGTTTTTGTATCTGGTATGTTGCGAAGTGGTGATTTTAGAGAAGGCATACGAGAGCTCCTCAACTCTGTGAAGTCACTTTTATTTCCACTTGACTGCTCAGGTTGCAAATCTTCTGTCACCTTCAGTTTGGCCAAATTTTCGTTTTGGTCTGCTTGTAGTTCTCCACTCTTTGTCTCCTCTGAACAAAGTGTTACATTTTTGTCAGCAACTGGTGGAACATTTTGATCTGAGGTCTTCTGTAATGGATATGGACTCCATCTGTGCTGTTTGTCTTTCGTAACGCTGTTCTTCTCAGAGGAAAGCGCAGGTTTTGTTTTAGATGACGCCGCATCTGAGCTGTCAGATGTTCTGACGTCTATGAAGTTGTTTTCTATGTGGTTATCCCTAGTAAAATCATTCATTTTGTTAGAAGAGTTTCTATCTAAAGTTGCACAAACTGTTGAGCTGTTAACATTCTCAGCTTTTTTCCACTTGAATCTTTCTTTGCAAAAATTATTTGAAGTGTTGCTTTTCTTGGACCATCCAGAGTCCTGGTCCAGACCAGTATCACAGTGTCTTTGTGGCCAATTTCGCCCCTGTGGAAAATTTTCAACGTTGCCACTGAAGTTCCACTGGCTATTATTGTAAGAATTAGGCTGCCAGTTACCAACACAGTTTCTAGAATGCTGGTTGGGGAAAATTCCGTTTCCCTCTGGTTGCCAGTGAAAACCTCTGCCTCTTTGGTGCCAACTGGTTGCCCCCCCTGCGTTTGAATGCCATGAGCCTTCTACTCTGACATGGACCAACTGTCGAGTGGTCTGACTGCTCAAATGCCATCCAGCCCGCCCCCGTGGACCAGGGAGATGCCGATTAGAATTGAGGCTTAATGTAGAATGCAGGAAATTCTGTCTAGGTTTGCTGAAGCTCTCCTTTTGCCATTGCCAGCTCCTTTCTGACATATCTCGCTTCCAGTCATGCTGATTTATACCTTGATATGTTAGGCGCTCATCTCTTCTCCTATATTCTTGCTCTTTGGAGAAACTGCAAGTATCATCTTGCCTAAGAGACAAAAATGAAAATTAATTTAAATTGACTATGAACTGCATGTTCTGATGTCTTTTTATACAATAAAACAGGACTCACAGTCAAATCCAACATGAGTTCACCGGGTGACACAGTCATCCTCTGGGGAACTAGCCCTATGTGATAGGTGAAAACCAGCACTCGTAATGGGATCCGTCCATCTAATACTTTTAGGGCTGCAGCGAACGATTATTTTCAAAATTGATTAGTTGGCCGATTATTAACTTCGATTAATCGGATAAAAAAAATGAATACCGTCATTTATTTTAAATAAACTACACAAATGCAGCGTTTGACAAAGTTTACTTCAGAATAAAATGGTATGCACATTTTTTGAAAATCGCACTGCACTGGAACACAGGTCATTGCAGTACCGCGCGTTCCAGTGCGGGTGATCACACTGCAGACGGAAGGTGCATTTGTGATGCATTGGAATGAATGGCACCGCAACGCACCTCCTGCAGCAAAATTTATATATACGTTTTAAATAATTGTATGTATTATATTAGGCATTTTAATTAGGTTCACGGATTTAAAATAATGTGAATTGTAAAACAACTAAGCCAATATAATAAAATAACCAACCTTTTATTTAAAATAACACCAAAAAATGTATTTTTATTCTATTTTTAATTTAACTTTTTAATTTTTTTTTTAATTTGTTTGCACTTTTAGTTTTTATTTAACTTTTTTTACTTTATTGCTGGGAGCAATAGCCAGCCTGCTATTGGATATTTTAAAATACAACAGCCAATAGCAGGCTGGCTTTTGCACCCACCCACTGCCTGCTGTGAAAATCAGCAGAGAAGGGACCTGGAGGACAAAGTTCTCCATCAGGTAGGCACGGGGCCGAGGCAGCATGGGGCAGAGGCGGCATGGGGGTGGGGCCGGGGCGGAGCGCAGTCACAAATAAAGTATTGGATGGACGAATCCCCCTACGAGTGCCGGTTTTTACCTATTGCTCAGTGGAGGCATTGGCGGAAGCTTTACCAGGCAGTGAGGTTCCAGCAGCGGGATTGGAGACAAGAGGGTAGAGCTGCTCCATGTTTCTTAATTGAACTAGCCGTATGTATGGGAAAGCAAAGTATTCGGAGGCAAAAATTATTTGTGTTCTGAAGTGTCACTAAAAATGCATATTTTGCATGTTATTAATAAGTCTAAAGAGCAGAGGTTACATAGTGTTCTGCATGTGTGAGTTTCTATAAACTTACATTTCTTGAAAGCAACAGGAACAACCGGAAAAATGCATTGTTACTTGTAGATCTTGCCAGTGTGTTATTGAGATACACCTGCAATAACACCTTAAGTAAGGCATAGAAATACCAAAGTAGAGGACAGTAGGTAGTAGGTGTAGGTAGATCACCAACTGTTGGCCTCATCCCCATACAACTCCACCCAAGACTTTTTTTTTTTTTATAGTTCCGGATAAGAGTAGGGAAGACCATTGTCAACTTTTTATTGTTGTCTGTGGTCCTATAGTTGCTTCCTGTTTATTTGACAGAAGAACAGAAGTCTGAGCAATCTCTTTAATGGGGCAAGGGCATGAAAACCATTTGCTGAGCATGTGCACTTACTGAGCCTAGAATGCTTTATTGCTGAGCATGTGCCACTAGGATAGTAGTACCAACGAAACTGGCTGTGCAAGTACACAGAGACTATAGAGCTGCCATACCTTAGGGAAGGTGAAAATCATGGGGACCATGAAAGATTAAAAACATACAGATATGTATGGGAGATACAATAATGAAATGTATTGCACATATAAATGCAACAGGAAGTTGTACATTTTAGTTCTGAACCCTGCAAGAAGCATGTTGCTATCACCTGATTAATGGAACATTTCTATTGATAAAACATAAACCTTCTGTTTAGCTGCGCGCACATGTTGGTCCATTCAGCAGGAATCGGCCAAAATTAATTCCGTTGGTGTCCCTATCCACTCGACAGAAGTCGATCATTAGATTGATTTTTGCCGAAGTAACATGCTGGGAAATCTGCAACCGAACAGTGCTTGCAGCCAATCAGCTGCAAGCACTGTTCAGGTATTCTGACAGTGGCCAGTGGCGCTGATGGAATACAATGTACAGAGCGGAAGATACGTCCATCCACGCTGTTAGTGGATGGAGGAATCTTTTATAATTTTTTTTCATTCAACCTGCGAGCCTGAGCGCAAAAAAAGTATGTGTACCCAGCTTTAGACTGCAATGTATATCGATACAGATACAATATACAGTATATCCAATTATGTAATCTGTTAAAATAAAATACAGATAAATCTGCCTTTTAATAAGAATAAAACTCAAGCAATAACAAAAGATATTACGATAAGCAGCACAGAGTACATGAATAAATGACAATCAATGCAGCTAGTCAGCAGAGAAAATGGTATTTCCTAGTACTGAACACCAGGGACATTTCTATAACCAAAGCTTCAAAACGTGGCATGGGCCAGAACTAAGCAGATACTAATAGAGTCAGCCAGTGGTGTCAAAGTTATAAGCCAGAATTCATTGGAATTTAAAAAAAAAAAAAATCTACTTACTGGTTTTGTTCTCTCCTTCGGTTAATTAATTGGATGAGCTCCTTATCAAAATAGTCTTCTTCATCCTCTTCCTTTGATCCCTCTTTGTCCCAGGCATAAACTTTGTCCTTGTGTAACTGGCTAGATATATGCTTGGCGTAGGTTGAAAGGCCCACCACGGTCACTCTGCAGACCCGGCACTCATGGCTGCAGTCCCTGGGAATAGAGGCAAAAGAGGGGTGCTCAATTTTTCCAACAGGCATTGCTGAAAGAAGCAGGCTATGCTGTGTCTCCGCAACGGGCAGGTTCTCCTTGACTCTGCTGCTGCAGCACTATGTAACTTTCTGGCACAGAGAAAGTTTTTCTTAGTGGCTGAACTGCTTTTTTCTTGTGATTTTTCAAAGTTGTTATAGTCTAAGAAATCTTTGCATGTTTAAAATGTTCCAGGATAGATTTTTCTCCAACAATTTAAGAGGCAAAGCTTGTTAAAAGAAAAGCAAAAAAAAAAAAAAAAAAAGTCTTCTTTAATTGTTGTACTGAAAATCATGCCCATAGAGGACACACAGCATGCTGGATGGCAATCTAGGCAGGGGAGGTGGGATACAGAGCTAGATGTCCCAGCTCTGAAGCCCAAGCATGGTGTCAGCTGCTGCGAGCTGCCTCACTGACACATTTCACTTTTATTTCTAGCATCACACTCTGCCCACAAGCTCAGAAAGGACATGAGGGGGGGGATGGGATGCCAGCCAATCACTAGGGAGAAAAAAGAGCCTGGACAGCTGAAACGCAGGATGGGAATGTGAAAACTCCAGCATCACAGCTGATGAAAGAGCCTGCCTAATACTAATACACTTTAAATGGCTACAACAAACTATGCATCATGCTACAGAAGCACGTGGGTTACATAGATGGAAAAGCACAAATAGATCCCTCTGTGGAGAAAGTGACAATGGCTGCAAGAATCAACATAGCCAAGAGACGACTTCTTGTAGAGACAGACAAACTGGCAGGCACATATAAGAGCATACATGCAGCCAAAATTCTTTGTTTCAATCTGGATAGCATGTGAAAGGGTTAGACCTCATTCACACTGTGCACTTGCATTATTCCTGCAGAGATCCGACTGCAAAATCCGTCAGGTTACTACGTCAGATGCTTTTTTTATGCTTCTAGATGCTTAACAGGACGAGTGTTCACATGTGTTTATGCGCATATGCTTTTAGATACAACTGATACAACTGTCCTTTGAAGTAGCCAATGAGATTTCAACAAATAAATACGTCTTGTGTTTACATGCATTTACACGCGTTTTTGTGAGTATAGACGTTAAAATGGTTTGCTGGACGCACCCGACTTCTATTTTTCCTAAACGCAGCTAAACTGACTGCATCTAAAGCATCTTAATGCAAGGTGTGACCGGAGCCATTGGAAATCATTAGATGCATTCATATGCGTTTTTAAAAAAAAAAAACACATTAAAAATGCATAGAAAAGCACCTAATCGCACACTAGTGTGAATGGGGCGCTAGAGTCCCCGTGTGGTTTTTAAGGTCTACTGCTTAGATTTTCCTCGCATTGTCAGTTTGCAATCTATTCATTTTAATTGACAGCAGTTCTGATACACCAATGGTAAAAATGGGATCGTTCACACTAGCAGATGCATTAGAACGCAGCAGCTGTTATTTTGCTTTGTGAAGGCAGCTGTGTCTATGAAGTGGAAACATCACATTGCACTGTAACCCTTTTTTTTTTAGGGTTAGAACGTTACTAGTCTACCACATCGCACTGCATTGAGGCCTATAGAACTGAATGAACTGTCGGTTCACAACATTTCCGGTGGAGAAGAGTCTGGTGGTAGCAGCTGGATTCCAGATTTGTATGCCAGGTAGAGAGATCCGTTCTTATTAGGGATGCACCGATATCGGCCGCCGAAACATATCGCCCGAAAATGGCACTTTTAGCATATTGCCGAAAGTAACATTTTCCTGCCGATACATCGGCGCATCCCTGCTTTCTTTCCTCCCTGCTGGGCGCTGCTCTGTGTCCCAGCGGGGAGGAGAGAAAGTGTGACAGCCGGCGGAGCGCTGTGAGTGGACGGCGTCTCTCCTCCCATACCGCTCAGCCACCTATCACAGGTCAGGCAGAGCGGTGTGTGGGCCAAGACGGGCCGCGCTGTCACAGGAGGCTGAGCTCTCCTCCCTACACCACTGTGACAGTGTCTGAGAGAAGAGCGAGGTACAAAAACTCAGCGTTCAGTGATCACTGAGTGTATTGTACATAATTGAGGACATGGTATGTTAACTATAGCCTCAATTATGAATGAATGGGAGTGATTTACATCACCTCCTGTTCATTCATAGTTGTTGTTATACTAAAACATACCATGTCCTCATGTTATCAATGAACAGGAACACTCAGAAGGATTCCTGTTAATTGATAACAGGGGACACAAAAAAAGAGATAGGAGGACTTTGTGTCCTAAATCTCTTTTTCTATTTTAAAAAGGGAAATATCAGGAGTCTGTTTAGACCCCCAATATTTCCCCGAAGCCCCTAAAAGTAATGTAAAAAATATTTTAAAAATATATATAATTTAAAAGAAGTTTATAAAAAATTAAATTTAAAAAAAAATGTGAAAATGTTTTTAAATAAAAAACATTTTCGCTATCGGTTTCGGCCTGAAATGTTTTTTATTTCGGTTGTGTTTTCAGTTTAAAAATTTCCATTTCGGTGCACCTCTAGTTCTTATAATGGTTGTGTTGGTCGAGGGCTGCGTGAGAGCTGGTGATGCGTTGAATGCGGGTCAGGCAGGTGGTGATGAGACAAGGCTGTGGAGAAGCCGGCAATGTGGGGGGGAGATCGTTGAATGCGGGTACAACCGCTGACAGTTGTGATGGAGAAGGGCTGTCGGGGAGGCGGTGATTTGGGAAAGGGCATTAGATGCGGTGGCTGTACAGTGTGTGTTGGGGAAGTGGCACCAGAGAACGGGATGGATGGAGCATGGGAACTGTCTGTGGTGGTGGGAAATTAAGTGGGGAGAGGCAGCAGTTATGCCACGAGGGGCGCAGTGGATGTGTGGAAAGAGGTTTGTTATTTTAAAAAACAGCAAGAACAAATTAAAAAGCACTTTAAAATATGCAATCAAAGGAAAAACTCTGGTGTTCTTCAGGGCAACGCATTTCGAGAAGTGTGGAGAACTGACAGTGCTGCTCTAGGGAAAAGCTGAGAAGCCTCTGAACGAGCGCAGTGGAAGGCACACGGTGAACCACTGAACAAGGGGTTTCAACCCACCAGTTGAGAACCATGGACCTACATGTACTTTAACTGAGAGACTTTTTTTGCACTATATGGATCACAGAATATACTTCTGAATGTTTTTTGGTAAGCCTTTTCTAGACTGAATATTTGACTTTTTAGCGCTGACCATTCAGTTTGAAGAATAAAGAATGGCAGAGTGGTTTCCCATAGAACCCAGTCAGAATTCATGGGTAGTTTTTCCAAGAGAAGTTAGAAGGAAGTGAAAGATGATTTGGCTATAGCACAACAGTTCTGACTTTACACAAGAATATACTGTACAAATCAGCCCCAAAAAGGACTGCACAATGGAGATGCATGTTTTCCTGAACCACCTTTAAACCTCTCTCTCTTTGCACCAACAGGATAGGAGAGAGATCAGGATGGTCTTTGAAATTAAAAACTCAAGTTCTTTGTTTAAACACTTCATACACAGGGCCTAATATATCAAAGGTTGAGACAGGGGAAAGGGTTTAAAAAGCAACCAGTTTCAGTTGGACTCTAACTTATTTTGACACAAACAGCACTATAAATGCAGGAAGCTAGATTTGTTAATGCCTCACACTTTCAAAACACCAAAACGAGCATGAATGAACCCCAAGGCCACTTTCACATGGGCAGAAAAAGAAAAAAAAGACATAAAAATGTTAGCACATTGGTTCACATCCAGCAGCCAATAGGGGTTACATGGAGCTGTTTTTCCTCCGCCACAAAACTTTAAAAAAAAAAGAAACACTGAGGAATTGGAATTGATACGTATGATACATATGTGACATGCATTTCTGTTCTGATCTGACTTTCAGGGCCCAGTCTATAAATCACCTCCAGTGAGCGAGCCGATGGACATGTGTAAAAGGGGACTAGGCAAATATCAGGGAAGTATCTTTTGGGTCATGTCAGCGTTATCTGAGGGGCTGCATTTCTAACATAATCTGGCGACCATTTGTCAAAAGGTTGTGCAAGCAATTTTAAAGAAGAACTCCGGGTAGAAATAAACTGAATCTGTCATCCTCCTACTCCAGCTATGGAATGTCTCTCAGCGTCCTTACGTCTCAGGGCCTTAGACCACCAGAGAGGAGGGGGAGTGAGGATGCAGGGGCTAGTCTAGCAGCCAGCAAGCTCTGAGGTTCTGTTGAGCATTTCTTTTTATTTTCAGCTCTAGACAAAAAGGAGCACTTAACCCTTGCCATGTGGTGGTATCCCCACTGCAAGGATTAAGATTATTTCCAGCCAGAGTTCTTCTTTAAGTAGTATTTTTCTGATAGGACATCGGAATCTGCCAGACATCAGCCTCAGAGCCATGCTACTGTGGTAATTCCTCTGCTGGTGACACCATAATCACCAAACTGCAGACTTCTCTATGCATGTTGGTCACTCAGTGACTGAACACTGCAGAATCCCGAACACCCCCGAGGGTGCACCATTGGACTGACACTGCAGGGGCGCCCACTATTTTTCATCTGGAGATCTACTTTTCAAATGACGAGCTCATTTATACTACCAACGAAAAAACCCCTGCATTCAGGGGCGGGAGGGGGCGTAGGCTGCGCAGGCAGGCCCCTAGCCCACTTTGCGATCGCCTGCATTAGTGCCTGTGTTCCAGTCCAGTGCGATCCGCAAAAATGCTGCGAGCACTATTTTTGCAGATCGCACTGGACCGGAATGCAGGCACTAATGTGCCCCCCTCCCGCACCAGAAGCAGGGAGTCGGCCTGCTTACATTCCAGTGCATTCCAGTACAGTACAGGTCCCGGCGTCCTGTCCTCCCGTGGTGCTCGTGTGGCCGACGTTGCACATGGGGTGTCCTGCACCTTTCCATCTGCAGCGTCTGACACATTCAGCCGGCAGCCGCACGAGCACCACGGGAGCATAGCCGTAGCCAGCTCCTTTTGCGCCTGAGGCAAGGAAAAAAAACAAAGTTTTTTTAATATATTTTTTACATTGGTGGGATACCACGAGCCGCTACGCGATCGACTGGTAGATCGCGATCGACCTTGTGGGCACCCCTGCCCTAATGCTTAGGAGAGAGGGACTAATGCTAAAATAAAAGGGTGAGTTGTCACTAGCATCAAACGCTTTGTGACAAGGGCCTTAGCTTGTACCAAACCTGCAGAACTGTGGTGTAATGTTATTTCCATATAACTGAAAGATTACTCTAGAGTTGTTAAATAAATTAGGGGAAAAACACCATCAATTTTGCTAACCGTGTATATCAAAAGATAGTGCTAAAAGATCACATAACCATTTATGCAATTGCTTTGTTACATCATGTTTCTACAAGCATACAAATCTGCCTGGCATGCCCACTTACATGCGTGTAAGTATAAATATACTTTTATTCTCCAAAACCCTGTCAAATACTTTTTTTATTATCTGAAGCAACTACAAGCATGGAACAAACGACAGGCAATGCTTTAAAGACTCATGTCTGGGGTAATCTCTGATACAAGCACAAAATCCTCAGCCTATGCATATTCCTTCATACTGACCTAGCTAAAATCCTTCACACAGCCATCATTTCTGAAATAGTGCTTTAGCATATCTTACATTTGCACGTGTATGACACACTAGTTTATTTAAATAAATTAACTTCAAGCCCTGAAATAATATATGCAGTCGCTGCAGTAAAATACAAGTATTTCATTATAGTAGAACTGTCTTAAAAGAGAACTCTGCGGTAAGTGTTTTTCCCCATAGTTCTTTTGAGGGTCAGAGGAGGACATATAGTAGCGTCCTCCCGTGACCCAAAGCTCAGTCTATCACGAGCTACAGCTCGAGGTATACTGAGACTGACGCAGCCGGGACGGATCCCGACATTACTGTCTAGATCGACCCAGCTGCGTGAGTGACAGCTGGCTCTGCCTATCTAGAGTCAGAGCCAGCCTTACCCGCCCCCCCCGCCTGCAGTCAGCGCTGGAGGATCGGAGAGGGGGGGGGGGGAATTCCTGCAGGGAGCCGTGACTGACAGTCACTGCTCTCTGCAGGGAGATGATCGATAAGTGAACGAGCGACGATATGCGATCGCTCACTTCCCGATCTATTGAGCCGACGCGTGACAGTTTCATTGTTACACGTCTGCTCGAACTATGAGGATGAGTGATTTTCACTCACCTCATAGGTTCTCCTTTAATGCAAGACAGACCATCTGCCCATTCAGTTCACTAGAACATCTGATAATCTGAAGCTCAATAGAAAATGAAAGCTGGACTCCAGAAAAAATGAAAAGCATTGTTTAATCTAGTTATGCATTTGCTAGAGTCTCTGTTGCTTTAAAAAGCCAACCAGCTGCTGACAGGTATGAGATACAAGCACTAAGAGTTGCTTACAAATACCTGTAGTAGTTTTATAGTACCTACTGCTTTGCCTGAATGCTAGGACGTTCTAACAAGCAAAGCTTTGATTTTATCAATAAGTGCCAAAGTTGTGCCCAATGCCTGCTTGAGTGACAGTCTCTTTAAAGAATCATTACATGTGTTTTAAATGTAGAAGCAAAAGTAGGGTTCAAACCAGGAGCAGATGAAGGGTACAAAGCCATGAACAAACACTAGAAACTAGACCTTGCTTAGTAGTAATAGGTAGAGGAGCTGTAAAGTTTAATGTTGGGAAGAAGATAGAGAAAACTCCCAGTTATATGGTACCCATGGGGATTGGTAGATTCTGGATAACTGTAGTTTCTGGTTGCTTGAGGGTTACTATTAACTCTCAAGCAACAAGCTCCCCGCCCCATTCATCTGCTGGCTAGATTCTGCTATTGGCTATTTCAGATTGCCATAGCCAATAGCAGGCTGGCCATTGCACACGCCCACTCCCCGTTATTTACATTCACCTGACGGCTGCGGAATGTAGCTGTCGGTTGCAGGAAGATGCATAAAAGAATTTCATTAGCAACTGGCCAAAAAAAAAACTTGGACATTTATGTCTTCGATTTTTTTTTCTGTTTGCTTGAGAGTTCTGGTTGCTTGAATGCCAGATAATGGGGAGTTTACTGTACAATGTTCTACTTCTCTATCAGACAGAATGTGATAGTATATCATTCACGTTTTAACAAGCCAATGGATAACGAAACCTGCCATCTAAAATAGGCACCAGGGTGGACTTCATGTTAAACTGACAGTATTGTTAGGCTGTAAAATCTTCCTGCTGGCCTTCCTGTTCTTGTCACACCATTTTGGCACCACACAAATGTTATTCTTTGTGAGGCATGGGTAATGGAATAGGCAACACAAACACACAGTCTGTTCTCAATTATCCGTTCAAGGAACATGCATCCATTTGCCTGCACTCTAATATACGGCAGGAAATACATGGACCAGGAACTCCTAATATGTACTCCTCCCTGAACCATAACTGACCTTTGGGAAAAAGCATGCAGGCAGAAACATCAGTAATGTTCTTAGAAAGTCACAGCCTACGTATCTAAAGAAAGGGTGTAGGAGCAGGGGTCATGAACAGTTTTAAAGATGACCACATATATGAAACCAGCAACCTTCAGTAACAGAGCTTTCCTTAGAACAGCTGCCATGGAACCCGGCAGCAGATGCTCTACACATGAGGGAATGTCACACATTTCAAAAATATAATTCTTCACTATTTCACACTTTTTCTTGATGCAAGTTTGATAACAGCTGTGCACCCACATGGAGGAAATGTTGTAGACCAGAGGAGTTTTCCAGATAAAAATTAAGATGTCACAACTTGTTACATGCCTCTTACCTGCCCCTTAGGTTTTCCAGTTCTCTGTGATGAAGCATGCTACGCATGTGCTCATCCATTTCCTGTGTAAACATGAAAATTTATGATGGAAGGTGTAGCTTTGAGTGAATATTAAAGAAATGTTTGTGTGGAAATGTTTTTTAATAGAAATTTACGCAGTTTAAAGGTCTCAATGTACTCTGAAAATAAAGCATAGAACAAAAACAAATTGGACAAAAGAAATCATGGAATTGTTTTCTTTATCAAAATGTAATTAAATTTGTGACTCAAAGTAGCCACCTTTTGCAGATACAACATCCAAAACATACATGTGGCATTCTTTCTCCAATGGAAATCAAATATTGCTCTGAAAGTTCTTCCGAACACTGTTGCAGAACTTCCCACAAATGTGTTGCACTTGTAGGGTGCTTTGCTTTCACCATTCTGTCAAGTTCATCCCAAACCAGCTCGATGGGATTTAAGTCTAAAGACTGTGCTGGCCATTCCATGATTTGAAGCCTACAGCCTGGTTGTTTTCTTCTAAGGCAATTCTGACATAGCCTGGACGTATGTTTTGGGTCATTATCTTGATGTAGGATGAACCCCTGACCAACTAGGCATACACCAGAGGATATTGCATGGCACTGCAAAATGCTGTGGTAGTAGTTTTGGTTCAGGATGCAACTCACTCTGTGCAAGTCGCTGACACTGGATCCAACAAAAGAGCCCAGACCATCACGCTTCCTCCTCCTTGTTTGACAGTTGGTGTCACACACCAAGAAACCAGCCTTTCACCTACTCAGCGGCTTACAAAAACCCTGCGTGATGAACCGAAGATCTCAAATTTTGATTCATTGAACCATAAGACCTTCTTCCAGTCTTTTCTAATCCACTAGTGGTGCTTCATGGACCAGGCAAGTCTCTTTCATATTTTGCCAGCTTAGTAATGGCTTTCGTACTGCCACTCAACCTGTCAAACCTGCAGCTTTAGGTCTTCTCTTCACTGTTGAAATGGAGAATTGCTTACTTCAATCAGTGTTAAGCTGTGCTTGATCAAAACAACACTGTTTAGGTGCCCATACACTGTACGATTCTCGTACGAGAACCGCAGGAAATCCCGCGATCGTACGATAACCGCACAGTGCATGGAAGGCGTGCGACTGTTTCTACTGTACGGTCGCACATTTTCCGTCGAACAAGCAGGCTTGAAAACCCGCCGAGAATCGTACGATTGCAGTGATCGAAAGCCCGCCCCTCACGGCGGTCATCGGAAGCCCGCCCCTAAGCGGGGCAGGCTTTCGATGATCGCAAGTATGATCTGCCTGTCCAAGACAGGCAGATCGTACAAGCTTTTAATAAGCATACGCCCATCGCAAGACAAAAATCTTGTGATGGTCGTTCTTAATAATCGGCTAACTAATCGATTTTGAAAATAATCGTTAGCTGCAGCTCTAGTAAGGTGTATGGGCTCCTTTAAAGCTGTCACCCAAGGATGCAATAGGTAGCGAGTTTGAAGACATCCCTGGCCTTGGCCTTATTTTCAGAAGAAACAAAACCATGCTAACAAATTATTAATCGGTCAGCCTCGGATATCCCTCTGTACCCAGAGGCATAACAATTCTCTGATTAATATGTCTAGAGGTACTTTTAGTTTTGCAAAGATTTTTAGAGACAAAACAATCATTATATAATACAATTACCTTTTTTGAGCAGTATACCATCTGGCACAAGATGCATTTCCGCTCCTGCACCATTGTGTCTTCTTAGTAAAGACTTACGCCATAGCTGTGAAAACAAAAATTGAACAAGACCGGTTAGTAAATGCAAGATATATAAAAGCAATGCAACATACAGCTCTGCTATCTTATTTAGCACTCAGAAAAGACAGGCTTTACTTTATCATCACCCTTTTTAGATGATTGCAACAAAATTCTGCCAATTTCAACAGGGTTGCCCGAGAATCTTGATGTCCATGGGCAAACACAACCTCTGTTGAGAACCCAGAAAATAGATCTTGAGGGTAACAGTCTAGTGGTAAGATATCCCCTGAATAAGTCTGCTGGAATGAGACTTGTAGAGTACAAAGACATGAACATCCGTGAAATACAAAATAGCCACACCAAGCCATTGTCAGCTGGAGTACATGTCTTCATCCCCGAATACCATCAGTGTCAAGCTTTACGATACAGCAAACTGTTCTAAAAATACAACATAACAGGCATCCTGGTCCCCTCAAACTTACTAAAGTGCCTATGCCAGCATAGTGTACCAAAGGTGACCGACCATACACTTATAAATTCAGCCACAGGTTGAACAAAAAAAAAAAAAAATCTTAAAGAATTCCACCATTCATGCTAAACATTGTGGATGAATGAATCTCCCACTGAAAATTTTCCAGCTGGCCCAAATAGACAAAAGTCGATAGTAGTCGACTTTTGCCAAGCAGACAAAGCCGCCCACTTCAAAACAGCCCAAAATCTAAGTGTATGGCCGGACTTAGTGACCTATACATCCCAACATTGCCACATGGGTGGCAAGCATGCTCCGACAGCTGGAATGTACAAAAGCACTATAGAGTTTCTGTTGGGTCTGACAAGGACAGTAAGCCCTCGTTCACACCTGAACAGTTTGTAGCGCGTTCTACGCTCGACGAAAGCTCTACAAAACGCTCAAAAATATAAATCCCATTGTATTCAATGGTCTCGTTCCCACCTTGGCGTATTTCCGCCCGTCCCTAACGCGCTACAAATGGCCCACGCCTGAAAAGGTACATGTACTACTTTGGGCCGTTTTGTTGCACGTTTCCATTGGGATACAGCCAAGTAGCCTTTGGAAACGCGCAACTTTTTTAATGCGAATCGCGGTAAAAAAACGCGCGACAGACGCTCATATGCAATACGCCTAGGTGTGAACGAGACCTTAGAGCGTGTTCACACCTAATGAGTTGTAGCTACGCTGGCGTTTTTTCCAGCCCCAACGCAAAACAAGGCAATTTGACTTGTTCCAGATGGGCTTGGTTCCCACCACCGCATTGCCGGGAGGTGGTGTGCACTGAAAAAGTATGGCATGCAGTACTTCAGCACAACGCAGTTCGATGTGGTACAATTGCATCGCACTGCAGTGTGCCCATAGAACCTTATTGAAGAAGCATAGGAATTTTTATAAATACACCCCTAAGTGGATAGAGTTGTTATCTAGGAGCACTGGAGTGCAGAGTTTAACTGCTAACATGGAATTAACTGCATGGAACATGGAACCCCATAAACCAAAAAATGCAAGTGGGTTAATTAGCTTCCACCCAAACTAGCTCCACGGTATGTCTATGTAACTCATGCTATAATATTAGACTGCAATCTCCTTTGCACTCTAGGACTGACATAATTGATATATAAGTGATAAAAATAAGCAAATGTTATTGCACATGCAAAACTGCCACTTGGCCATTAAAAGAAAAATTGTATTTGTATGGATAAAACATAGCAAAAAATAAGTCAACAGCTAACTAAACAGCAAGTGACCTTGCTCCACTTCCTCAAAGATCTGCATGTAGAAAAGGAACATTTGTTGAACCTAATTTTCCTACAGCCGTCTGTATGAAATGTTCTAACTATATTAGGTGACAGCTGAAGGGGGTAAGCTTTGTGCCATGATAGAACAGTTGCATTCAACATGTGAAGACTTCCAATGCTCACAGATTTCCCGGTCTAGAAGTCATGTTGGTATATTACTGAAGGTTATACAGGATTATGAAAAGGTAATCAGTAGATACAAAACTAAAGTTAAAAACACATCTTGCATCAAGCTGCCAACAATCTCAGAATTTGTGGGCAGTAGGAGGTTCATACAAGGCCAATCTCAGTATTTGTGGGCAATACCGTGTTTCCCCGAAAATAAGACACTGTCTTATATTTTTTTTGGCTCAAAAAAACACACTAAGTCTTATTTTTGGAGTAGATCTTATTCTATTTTTTAATATACAACAATTCACACTTATTGATGTAGAAAAGTCTACATGTATTCATGTACAAAAATATGGTGATCAGGGCGATCAGGGCAATCAGGGGTGCTGTACCTTTCCAAGAGCAGTTTGCTAACCAATCGCTAGCCAGAATGAGCTAAGCGCGATT